CGTCAAACGCAAACGCGACAACGATGACGCCAACGAGGAGCCGTCAAGGTCTCACAAGAAGCCCAACACTGGTTCAGGAGAGATGACTCCTACCGCCTGCGTGAGTAACTACGACTTGTCTTCAACTTATTTGTGACACGACTAACAATATGCAGCAAAAGGTCGTCACCGGATTGGCGGCGCTTAAGAAGCTGAGCGATGAAGAGAGGAAGAAGCTTCGCGCGGCCAAGTTTGCTCCAAAGCCAACTGTACCGACCAAAGCCCCAGTTGAACCCAAGGAGATCCCTCAAAACACCAACCGTCGCGTGGCGAATGTAGTCACCCAAGACGAACGCAAGGCTAGCCCGATTTCCGCCATTAATGCTGCTGTCACAAACAGCCCAACTCAACACAATCATGTCACTACTGCGTCACAGAATGAGCATACGAAAACACCAGACACCAAAACACATAACCATCCTCCTACTAGTACCAAAATCGATTCTCCAAAGCAAGACACGATAAAGTCCACGTCCGTGACCCCAGAGAACAAGACGTCAGTGCCAAAGATTTCCACGCCACCAACATCGCTGCATGTTTCCCCAAACACAACAAATCCACCATCAAAGAAACGCAAGCGCGATGACGTTGAAGAGACTGAGAGCAGCGCATCCGAGGCGAAGCCTAAATCCCAGTCGAGCTCCACCGCAGCACATCCAAGTGTCATCCAGGCCAACATCGAAAAGCGAAATGCTAAACTCAAGGAGCTCATGGGCAGTGCTCAGGCCGAAGAGAAAGAATACCCACATAAAGCTATAGAGTACGTCGAGTACAGCATCTACAGCATCCCCATCTCTTATTCTACTCTCATCGAGCATGAGTACGAGTTTGAGCCCATCGATACGCCGCCGAAAGAACTCAAATGGAAAATGACTGCTAGTGAATATGAGCTTTTTGGTCGTAAGATGCTCCTCATACGCCAAGCAGCGCTCCGCGTTGTAAGCAGCAAGAAAGGTAAACGAGGCGAAATGTTGGGCCGCAAAAAAGTCCCTATGAGTGGTCCCATCAAGATCATTGAGGATTGCGATCTTTACTGGCATGACGACAAGATCCACGTCGCCACTGAGAAAGGACTCTTAACAGTACCAAACTACCTTGAGCTTCTCGACGTTCCAGAAACACAGCCGGTGCGCTTTGAAGGACGCAAACCCTCGTGGATGAAGCAGGTCATCGAGAGGAGGGTTCGTCGCCGAGCAATGATGCGTTTCGACCCCAGCGAAATACTGCTACGTGAGGGGTGCATGCAGCTCGGGAGTGAGGATCCCCTCATAGTCTTGGATCGAGGAATCTTTGATATCAACATTGCCACCGGCCAAGAGTCGTTTATGGCATATGGCTTCTGTACTCTTGACGGAGTCAAAGGTTGGTTCCCATACGAATCTACGTGCCCTATGGACTGGAGTCAGGAGCCAGGTGAGGAGACAAAGCCCGATCCTAACATCATCGACTGGAGCACTTTCGACTACGGTCCTGTTGCTCGAGCCTACACTCTACGGCAGCAAGGGAAGACCGTCGAAGAGATAGAGGCTGCAGAGGCTGCCTTTGTCACAAGTAATAATCCTGCACAAGACGTAACAATTGCGTCCGTTACGCCAAGAGTCAGATATCCCGCTCCATCTGCTGCGCAAGTAGAAAAGCCTGCTCATCAGGTCGAGGAGGCACCGTCTCTAACGACTGGTTCTGATGGTTCTACATCGGGTCCGGTGTCACCGCAATCACAGGCTGAGACCAATCCGCTGATTAGCGTGGCACCCGAACCTCTTACTCGACAGTATAGTCCTCAGGCTGTATTGCGTCAAACTCTCTCTGGGGAGTCCGATGATGATGTTGATCTCGATGTTCTCAACGGCGCAACCACCGCGCATGATGAAGTTGATAAAGCAGACGTCCCAGGTGCACTTCCTGAGACACCAGTGAACGCCTTCACCAAGTCCCGTACATTACTTCCAGGATTTCCAGGATTCACAAAGCCGACGTGGAAGGAGGAAGACGATATCGACTACGATGACGACGAGCTCTGATGATCCATTGCGTGTAGAAACATCATCAGACAACGCTGCATATCATAGCAAGACGTCAAATCGAGTCGAGCTGAACTACCGAACTACCTACATCCTCTTGAGGATACTTTACAGTCGAAATTGTCTCAGTAGACATTGACGAGTCAACACCAACGCACGGCTGACCCTACCACTCAGACACCACACATCGGTGATCTGTGCGTACCTTGCAAGTGGAGTGGCTACTTGGTGGCGAACTATAAGTACACAAAAAAACGGAAAAATCTTAAACTGCAAAAACATATGCCGATACAGGGATCCGTCACATCGTAGCAAGGCAGCGATGATGCAATACATAAGTTTTTTTTTCACAGCTTACCGAGCATAGCATTAACGCTTTGAATGCTGGTCGTTCCTTCATTTGTCACAGCTTGAAACAGAACAGCCCTGCACCTTTTTGATTCCAGCGTCGATAGAAGCATTCATGATTATATCATTGCGATGCTTGTTTCGAGCGTTTGACGAGTAAATACAATATGTCTGCGTAATACATATATGCACGGAGGGAAAGCGTGATTAAGAGAATTATGGGAAAGAGTATTACAAGGTGCGGCTCTTGACGATAGTTTTCATTAAAAACGTTTAGGGATCTATGATCCATAAAAAAAATGTAAAGATGATAAATCATCAACGTGTGAGAGATACGAGGTGAGAAATACGTGAAGCTTCGTGAGACTGAGCATCAATGGTGACCATGGTATGAATGTGAAAGAATAAATGTGTAAGAAATTGGCAAGATGTCGAGTAGTAAAGAGAATGACATTCTGACGACTGTCTTGTTGAGCGATTATCTCCAATCTTCTACCGAGCTAGACATCGCATAAATTGCGACTAGGAAGATGGATCTGAAGCGATATTTTCATTGCCGGTTGAAGCGTAGTTTTCATTGCCTGTTGAAGCATCGTTTCCATCGACGGTTGAAGCATCGTTTCCATCGACAGTTAAAGCATCGTTTCCATTGCCGGTTGAAGCAGACGGCTGACCTGGATTGTCCCTCCAATATGCCTCTTGGTGTATCAAATGATGGGTCATCATCTCTTCCTCGGTCCTGGTTGCAGTCGCTGTGCGAACAAATCTCTTCCCTTTTCCGATATTCAGAGGAAAGCCAGTAAACGCTGCAGCCGTACTTCTGTTCTTGCGTACGCCAGACCAGTGTCGTGCGGTATGGCCCAATACAGGGAGTACCGGTGGAAGTTCATGTGTCATTCGCGTTTAGGCGAGTTACGGGTTGCTTTGCGTAATTAAGGTACTTTCGGTGCGATATTCTGAAGTCGACTTCGACAATAGCACTCGGCGTTGATCCGTCTGCTCGATCTGCTTGCGTAAAGCCTCTTTCGGCTTTGGTTGGACGCGGCCCCTGTCCGTTATGGTTTTTCAAAGACGTAGAACCTGGATTTCAGCGATCTTCCGGTGGTCTGAAAGCATATGTACCAGCGAAATGGTTTAGGACTGTGTCTAGGACAGGCAGGCTTCGCGCGTGGAAGCGACCGACGGTTATCTCCAAAACATCGAGGTGACAGGCATTTAGAGTTGTCTGATACATCTGAAGGACGAGCGCGTCGATGAGCGGCTTCTGTATAGACTTTGGTAGACCCAACTGTAACATTGCATTGTAAAGATGGATTTTACCCACAAAATCATCCGGCATTTGCATTGAGGGAAGCGTGATTGGGGCTGGTGGAGTTGGGTTTTGCTGATTTGGGACTTTTTCGGGATTGACAATCTCTTTCACCTCAAGAAGCCAAGGGAAGATGAATTGTGTAATCTCTTCTGAGCGTATGTATGCCATGTGGCTATCTTCTGAGTAAGACAGCCTCAGCCCCGTACGGACGACTTGGGGAAAAATAGTCTGCAAATCTCTCATCTGTGTATCCTGAAGTCTGGCCCATATGTGCCCGAGGGTACCGAACGGGTAGACATAGCCTATTGTTGTCCGGGTTATATCGGAAATGATCATCGGCGAGATTGGAGACAAATCTCAGGGTAGCCCGATCGACACGTCCTATAGTGACTGCTGCGTTGTCAAATGCATCCAGATGTTCCCAGTCGCTTCCACTTCTGTACCCGCCGACCGTTTTAAATATCTGCTCCTCGATGTGGATCTCGACTTGGTTGTCGGCGTGCACAGGGCGATTCCTCTTATTGTACTCGTGGACCTGATCAACGTATTTGTATGAATTCGCCACTTGCTGAGCAAGGTTTTCCAGATAGGTCTCGTGCGCGATTACGACTCTTCCGTTCGCGTGATATAGCACCATGACGAAGTCGGGGTAGTGTGTAGTTTGTAATTGTAGTATTAAATGCGGTGTCGCAACGTAAGGCAGAATTGGAGTCGATCTCTCTAAAGATATCATATCGACGGTTCATTTTCCTTGTTCAAACATCGTTCGTTACAGAGGTCGACGCTATCCCAAGTCGTCGATGTATCTTGGGATGGTCACGTCTAGAACAAAGCAAAGTTGAGCAAGGGCTAGCCTCCACAACGGTAATGCTCGTACTTTGACAATTTTGACTTAACCCAATGCATGCTATTCCGATGCTGAGATGTGGTCGGATTCGGAAACAATGTGAAAAGATGAGATTGAGGTAACACAATGACACCGCCTCGCTAACACCGGATGTGGTTAGCACGAACGAACGCAAGATTTAATACTAGAGGTACAAACAACACGCAATGGATATGCGGGCACTAGTGTCTTTAGCACAAACCGTACTTTTACTCCCAATTGTACTAGGCCAACAGTCCGTATCACATCACGATCACTTCTTCCCTCCTGCACCGCAAGCCCTCTCCAGAGTCAAAAAGGCAAAGTGTCCTCCAACAACAGGTCTAGCAAAGAACCATGGGCCAGGGAATCCACCATCTCCCTCTGTGACGTATAGATCCGTAAACGGTCTATCAGTGGCAGTCTCGTTCAACCAAAGGGCTACACGGTCGAGAATCTCGGAGCGCACCTTTTTGTTAGCGACGGCTGCAGCTTCAAACTCCCAGTCGGATTTGGTGTACAAATGTCGGCTGTCGAGTGGTAAACCGTACTTTTGCATAACGTTCGAATACCAGTCGCTCTGAAGATTGTAGACAGAGTCTGGGATGAAGTCCGAGGTGATTGGTGTGCGGCCCGATGAATCCTTTGATGGTGTCAAAGGTCTCTGTGTGTGATCATTGCCGGATGCGTAGCCTCCCATTTCAGATATAGAGGATGAGTTTGTAATGGTAGGGTGGAAGCAAAGAACGGCATCCGCGTAAAGCGAGTACAGTGTCGTCCAGCTACCGTACCAGTCATAGGCAAGTTTGGCGTGGGTTTTATCGCGCGACATGGCGAACTCTTCCCACTTCTTGACGTATGTCTCGGAGATGTTGCGGTAGTGCTGAGCGTCGCCTGGACGGTCCATGAGATCTGCAATCTCGCTGAAAGCCTTGATGCCGACGATGCCCTTCAATGCGAGATTAGTCTGAAGTGGCAGCCATCCAGCAAAATCGTCGGTACACACTGGTCAGGTTAGCATGCTTCACGAGTCTCTTCGTCAAACTTACGTTGGTTGTGGGGCTCCAGAGCGTCCTCGACGAGATATCCTGTCCATTGCTTCCACAAATCGTAGCTTCCTTCGAGCCATTTCTTTGCTGCGTCGACCCCTTTAGTGCTTCCGCCCCAGGTCTCGTCAATATAGCTAACTCCATTGTGCGAACCGATGCTCGTCAACGCGAATGGCTTGTCGGACTTGGTACTATCGCCGTCACTGCCAACGGTAGACCAGATCGATTGAGCTTCTGCGTCAGAACCGTAGCTGAGTGAATTGACCAACGCGAGGCCCATGATGAGCATATCGCCACACTCCTCCACTGGCATGTATTCATCCCGTCCATCAGCGTGTCCTGTCAAGTTCGGGAAGTGGGCGCCCAGGTCGTGCATAGAGTACTTGTTGGGATACTGGCCGCTCAGCTGATGCTCGAGAAGCGGCTCAAGGAGGTAGGCCAGCCACTTGGGCTGTGTGTAAAGGAAAAATGGGAAAGCCGGGAAGATGACATCGACAGTCTGGCAGTTGCCATTCGAGGAGATCTCTTTCAAGAAGAGCAAAGGGTTTTCCCGGGTCCCGGAAAAGCTAGTCGCGCCCATGACCTGTCGTGCAGACAAGGCAACAATGTCGACGTAGTTGGTCGAGCCAGATGCATAAGCATCGATACGCAGTTGTTCGGAGTAGTTGCTGGCTAGACTGTTGGCTACAGCAAAGTCACTGTAGTGAAACTGAATGAGCTTATCATCTTGAGGGAACCATGACTTCCACAGCGGTCGCATAAAGGTGAGGCCACGGGCGGATGCATACTGCGTGATAGGGTCTTGGATGTGTGTGATTGTAAATAGCACGCTGCTGCTTGTCGAACCAGTCGCTGACGACTTGGCCAACTTGAAGGACTTTGAAAAGGCAAATACCGGTTCCTCGTCCATGACAGCGCGGAACTTGCCATCGACTTGGTTTTGCAAGGTGCCGGTTCGAGCAAAGCGCTGGCGGAGTAGCGAAGAAGTACCAGACTCATGGCGAACATCGACTGGTCCGGTAAAGTGCAGCTGACCCCACTCGGGCTGGTCGTTTGTCTCGGTGAACAGTTGCTGGACCTGTCGCTTCACTTGCCAAGTCTTCAGCCTCTCATCCACTCCAGGCGCGACGTGTTGGAACAAGCCCCATTCTATGAGACTCTCCCTCTTGCCGCTAACCCATTGTCCGTTTACATCGACATAGATGTCGACATCAAATGTGCCTTCTACGTGTATCGACAAATACGCTGCAGGTATCGTCTGTCGCAAAGTCGAGGTGGGTGTTATGGGCGACAGGAAAGAGAGGGTAATCTCGAGGTCCTTTGCACTACGAAGACTGCTGGGCGCTGGTATCGAGTATGTGAGATTGGTGGTTGACGCGTCATACTTTGCGCCTTTGTAGATGGGGTAAGATATCGTGTAGCTTGAATCAACAAGTCAGCATGGATTGTCTCCGACAGACGGCACATACTCTTTATCATTGTCATCCAAAGAATCATGTGGTCTTCCTAGCAGCGGAAACACTTGGTTTGAGTCCGGGAGAGATGCAAGAACACCAAAGCCGATCTGTGTGAGGCCGTCAGCTTGCAGGTGAAGCTAATTGACTGATGGTACTGTAGAGCATACCTCAGAACCTGTCCAGAACATGGGCCATTTTGTCCATGGCTCCTCTCTCGCGTTTTGCAACCATGTACTCAGATACGGGTTTCTCACAATCAACGGAAGTACAGGAGGTCGGAGAGTTGAAGCTTCGACAACGCTTGCAATGAGCGCTGTCGCAGCGAAAGTAAAAGGTCTCATGACGACCAACCAAGCACAAATCGCGAAATCAACAAGGATGAGGTCAAAAACGAGATGAAACTACGATGACGAATTCATGAATGTGTTGTATATACAAGAGTAGGTGAACACCGGGTTGGAGCTGTCAGGTGAGTGATGGGACTTGGGAGCTTGGGGTAGCAGTCTGCGGGGTTGTGGAGCGGCCAATCGGCAGCTGGTGCCTTGCATCACGGAGCGCGTCGGCTACCGTCGCACGTTTCATCTTGCGCGTCCTGCCGACATGATGTCCGCAAAACAGTACCAGAGGATGCGTTCGGTGTCGGACGGATCCTCCCCTTCGACTCAATACAGATATGCAAAGCCGACATTTAGGAAACGCTCCGAGAACTTTCCGTGGATGGTCTTCCAGGCGTCTGACCTCGTCGTCTCCACGCAGCTGTAATCGCACCCATCAATGCAGAGGCAGACCGACCTTGTTCCCTCCTTTTTCCTAGCGGTGGTGTCGATATGCCATCTCGGACTGACCTTACTGGGCTGGGGGTGCGGATGTTCCAGTTGTCCATAGGATATGCCGGGTGAGGACGGTACGAGGTGGGAGAGTCATCGTCGCTCTTGCGAGGGATTGTCGGCAGAGGGCGGGGGGAATACTCTGGGGGTGCGAGCTTGATAGACGGTGGAATGGAGAGACGGTAGGGATTTGGGACTTTAGGGATACGGCTGACTGGTCGTTGTGTCTGCTCATTGGGATAATCAACTGACACTCTTGCCTCTGAATCCGGTGCACCACGAGGGACGTAGGTTCGTGGATGCTCTTCACTTCCCACTGGACGATTCGATGCTCCTTGCCATGATCTCTGCGGCTGCATTGATTTGGCTCTAGTGGGAGTGTCTGTGGTCGTGGCCTCTTCGCTCTTGCTCTCGACACTCGCTGCTATTCCTTCCCCGAGGTCCTCCGTGCAATCATGGAAAGCATCTTCTGACTCCGTGCCAAGGGAGCTCCGGGTTCTGTTTACTTCCATGGCCCCGCAGCTATCATCCCCCAGTGGCTCTATCACAGAAAGATCATTCTCCTCGCCATCCCTGCTATGGTCTTGCTCGAGCAATCCGAGGTCCCTCAGCTGATCCCAGGTGCGATAGTAGTACCGAAAAGTAGCGAATGGTTGGTCAATAGGATCGATGAGCGCGAACTTGTAGAAACGTTTTGGCTGTTCTGGTCCTGCACGGCCAGCGCTCACCAGGCTGGAAAGTCAGTACGTTCTTAGCGTCTTCCAACGCGTTCTTACCTGATTCCCTTGCCACTCTTTGCGTGTTGTGTGTCCGTGTATTGTTCTGCCTGTCGTTCGATACGCTTCCTTCCATCTGCACGGTGTACTCGTATCTCAACACGCGCTGTCTTGTCAAACATGTCCACCAAATCCCTGCCATATGCAGGCGGTGTAAAGCAAAGCACTCGCTTCTCAATCCTCTTCTTCCCTTGTTCATCCTCGGGCGTCTCAAACAGCCCAAACATGGTCTTCCCCTGCCATTTCTCTGCCTTTCCCGTCGACCAGCTCGTGACGTATGCGCCGTCGACATATAGCTTGAAGAGAAAATAGTGGCCTTCAGGAACTGGCGGCGATACCGAGTAGCCTATCCAGAAAGTGCTGCCTGGATAAGCAGGTACGTAGACGCTGCATGTTGACGTTTTGTTGTCGACCAAATCAGGTGTGAAACCGGTTATACCGCGCGCGACGTAGTGATCTCTAGGATCAGGAAGATACTCGGGGAGTGTCTCGATATCGAACTGCGAGTGTAGTCCAATGTCGATACTGCGGTAGTGCATGGTGACGTGATGGTTGTCAGTGATTGGATCGGAGTTGCGATTGCCTTTGCTTGAAGCACGCAGACTAGCGCGATTGCTTCATCTGGACCTATACATACCCTCAATTCCCTACACATCACGAAAGCTTGCAGAAACGTCGTATACATCAGTTTTACCTGTTTGATAACACAATGTCACTCGATGCGTCTTTCATCACTAGCAGGTAATTCTTTGTGCACGACCTTACTATCACTGACCATGCTTACGTACAATAGCTTTACTTTCATCGTGCAAATTCACAGCCTCCCTCAGCATTCTCCTTTTACTATATAATCCTGTATTTCGCAGACTTTTCTTTTAGCACGACCACCATTACCAAGTATCACCAGACTCAACTCTCAAAACCAAGTCTGTTCCATCATCACCACCAAGACTAGCAATTACCATTGGTTCCGTCATGGCGACCATGAAAAAATCCAAGCCCGCTTCCAAGAAGCTCACCGTCCACCAGCTCGCCTCACTCAAGACGGGCCGCAAGGCAAACATCATGATCGGTCCTGAGGGAAATCGGTACATCGCCGTTGAGCGTGTGTCCGTCGACCTGCTGGCACACTTCTCCCGGACCGCGCACAAGAAGTTGATCGAAGAGAACGAAACCATTCTAACCATTCCCAACGGCTCCAAGAAGGCTATCTTTTGGATTTACAAGTACATGCAGGCCGACCAGCGCAATCCTCAAGATCTGGAGACATTTGAGTCGCTCAACTCCCACGTGCTTGTTCTTCTCTACAAGCATTGCGTGTCTCTTTAGTATGCCCCGCTGCAGAATCGGATTTACCAGCGCCTAAAGGGTTCGCTCATCGAGTCCCTTCCGACCATCCAGGAGATTGAACTATATCAGACTGCAATTCCACCGCTTTATCAATATGTGGTCCAGATCATCGCTGGAGAGATGATCAAACCTTGGACCTGCAACTATACCGCTTATCAGGATCTTACTGAGACCAACAAGGCGTATGGCAAGGGCCTTGATGAAGCAATCCAGAAACTTCTCACTGCTGGCATCAAGCGTGGTAAGGAGTACTACGCGCGCACGAAGAACCCCGAGGTGATCTGGTCAAAGGATTACAAGAACGCGGTTTCGGCTGGTAAGAAGCCTCCGAAGTAGCCCACCCTTGGAAACTTCACCAAGAACCCCGTGCCTAGCCAGGCGTCTGGTCTTTCCAACACCAAAGCAAAGCATCACGATGCGGCCAAGAACGCTTCCAGTGTCCAGGGTACCACGTCACAGGTGCCCTTTATGTGTTACAAGTGTCACGGTGAGGGTCATCTCGCTCGCAACTGCACCGTCAAGCTTGAGCCCAAGCCTGCCAACTGCTATAAATGCAACGAGCCGGGCCACATCGCTCGCAACTGCACCAAGGTGCCTTCTGCCCGGGTCAACAAGCCCATCACCTGCTACAACTGCGGTGAGTGCACCCTTCCGAACCGTCGTCGTGTAGTTCCGGTCATCCAAGTGAGCGATTTTGGCGGAGGTCTTCAGACTTGTGATCGTGTGGTGCGAAAGGGCGAGTTGAGCCGTACTGGCATGCGCATCTAAGTATAATTGGCTTTTGGATGTGACATTCGACTGTTTATTTCTTTTCATGAAGCAAGGCTGCCCATTGATGGAACCTAAGAACGACTTTCAAGAGGTTGGATAGGACATGTTTTAGAGTGGCAAGACCACCATCTTAGCAATATCACATATAAGTTGATATGGGAACCTGCTCTGTTTACAAATATGATATGATTGCTGTAGTGACTCTTTATGTTAGCAGCTGGTGACAAACAGACTAAAAGCGTTGTATACAGTGAGAAGTATTCATCGGTACTATGTTGTTCTACTCTTTCCCCTCTCCAGGCTTCTTGTCTTTTTCTAGATAGTCTTTGATACTGAACATGGCAGTGCCCCTCTCTAATGGCTTCGCTTGCGTCTCACTAGGCTTCCAACCGATCATGTAGATTAATCGAAATGTTGCAGGCAATGTCCCATCTTCGTTGCCGTGTAGTTCTTTGTATATGCCCTCGGCAGCTAAAAGCACATCCCGCTGTATCGGGCCCTTTTCTCGCGATAGTACGGCATTTGACTCGCCCATGGCCTGTAGGTCTTTCATTAGTGAGAAGGTATCCGGGAAGTCAACTACGATATCATCGACGTCCACGGTGAGAAGGTTGAAGCCAGCCTTTTGTAGTAGACCACCGACATCTTTAACATCTGCCAGTGGGGAAGTATGCGTCGAAACGCCGCCTCGTCGGTCGAGCTCTGCTAGTTGGAGGGATGTGCGAAGTTCGTATAAACTATCACCGCCCATCATGACGCCAATGAAGGGACCGTCCGGCTTTAGTATATTGTTGACTTGGGCTAGCACTGACGGCAAGTCGTTGATCCAATGCATGCTTAGATTGCTCAAAACAGCATCAAATGTATCCGCTTCGTACGGTAGGAGCTCTGACGTTGGCAAGACTTCTCGTACAATGTCAATCTCCTTGTTAAAAGGCAGGTCGGCATCTCGGTACAACAGCGTTTCGGAGGAGTCTGCGGCTATGATGGTACCGATACGCTTCGATCGTGGACCTTTGTCTGGCGCATCTTCGGAAGGAAGTGTGAGTGCGCGAGCTAGATTACATGCGTTCGCTCCGAGGTCCAGGACTTTGGGGAAGTGGCGATTGATATCCTGTCTCATTAGCAATGCTTTGTTATTGGTGGGGAAGACATACCAAAACTCGCTCACATAACCGCGAAGCTACCTCGTCTCTCAAGTAATCCACGCCCCTACTAGTCTCCTTGTCCGATGCCGCTCTTTCCTTTTGCATCCACTTCTGCTGAGCACTAAATATCTCCATCATTGGGGCTCCGGGAGATTGAACGGCATAGCGTCGCGTGCTTTGTCGGGGCAAGCATCTTCGCCTCAATGGCGGGATGAAGGCGCGTATCGAGAAGGTGGCCATCATGAACGATTGAATCAATTGAGCTTGAAACAATGACAGAGGTCGAATGGAGGCAATGCGCGTGGGAGGAGATGTCAAAACCACTACGTCAAGACCCTGGTGTCGCTGCACCAATCGGCGTTTGGCTCCACCGAGCTCTCCCTCCGCGCTCCACAACTTGTCCCCCATCCCTCGCTGTATTCGCTATACCTTGAGCTACCTGTCAAGGAGGAGTAGAAGCTTGGTATTGCCATTGAATTGTTACTTCGCCATGGCACAGGCCTTTCCGTACACGTACTACGCATGCGATTGCTTCGACAACAACACCACGACTGTTACGAAACGCTCGCAATTCATCGCCGCATCAGAAGACGAGGAGCAGAACTTCGACCCGCAAGATCCGCGCTCCAACTATGCCCTCTACCCGCTCGAACACCTTCTCTACTGCGAAGATTGTCTACAAATACGGTGTCCGCGATGTGTCATTGAAGAGACGCTGAACTGGTACTGCCCAAACTGCCTGTTCGAAGTACCGAGCTCCGTAGTCAAGAGTGACGGGAACCGATGCACGCGAAACTGTTTCAACTGCCCAGTATGCATATCGCCGCTCATAGTCAACCTGCTCGAAAACCCCGACGCGGATCAAAGCGCACCGGACCGACACATACTGGCGTGCCCATACTGCCATTGGAGTACTGTGGAGACTGGCATAGAGTTTGAGAAACATACCGGCGTATATAGCCAGATTGCACGGATAGCAAATGGTGGAAAGCCCATACCGACGTCTAAGGAGCGTGACAAGGAGCGCGAGAGGCGTAAGGAGATGGAAGCACGGCAGCAAAATCCCCTGTCGCCTTCTAGCGACTCGACAGGCATGGACATTGGAGAGTACGAGCCGCCTACTCGTGATGACCTATTTTCGAACCTCGCTGCCTTTTACAAAGCACAGCTAGAGGCCCAGACACCGGCGAATCCCCTCGAGATGAACTTTTCTTCGCCGTCCGCCTACTCCCGCATAATGAACTTGTATTCAACAACCACTGCAAAGAAGCAGAAGCGCGACAAGCCGACACCAATGCGTGAGGCGGCTTCAGAGTTGGAGGGGCTGGTTATACACGATCCTTCCTCGGACATTGCAGCAATCGAGCGTATCAAGCGGGGCGGATGGGGCACTACACTCTCGCCCGCCCAGAAGCTCGCACAGCAAAACCCCTACATAAGGTTTGACGACGAGCTACGACCGATCCCGACGTTGCTCTGTACAAAGCGCTCAAAACGATGTCGCTCATGTCGACACATTCTCTCTAAGCCAGAGTCCAAGATTACGTCAACACGATACAAGATCAAATTACTAGCACTCAACCATATCCCTCGACTCAGCATCCGTGCGTTACCACCCACCTCGGACGTCCCCCCACTCCCCGGCATGTTGCCCGTTCCACCGCCACCCTTCAACTACAACGCTCTTCGTCCCGGGCTTCCAGCCCACTTTCTCCTGCACCTCAGCAACCCGCTCTTCGACCCCATCCGCGTCACCCTAGCCACTGCTAGTACCACGCCTGGAAAGGTACAATCCCGCGTCACAATCCTGTGTCCACAATTTGACGTCGGCGCCAACACTGATGTCTGGGATGATGCGCTGTCCTCCTCTCCCGCTCCGATGCCGCGTCGCTCGACCATCAACGCCGAAACAGGGCAAATTGAAGCAGGCAAGGTTTGGGATAAAGGAAGGAATTGGACTAGTGTGGCTATCGAAGTCATCCCAGGTTTTCTGAGTGAGCTTGGCGATGATGAAGAGCTGGAGGAAGATGATAACCTACTCGAGATACCGATCTTTGTACGGCTAGAATTTGAGGCTGATGTTAACGCTGAGGAGAGAGGGTTGGGTGATTCTAGAGGATCAAAGGGGGAAAAGGAGAAGCGAGAGGAGGCGTTTTGGACAGTAGTGGGTGCAGGGAGGATAGTGGAGGCATAGTCCTGCGTTTAGTGATACCCCTTTATTGATCGATGAGTTCTGTCACTTTTAGCCATGTGAATTCAATATCAACTTATGAATCTATTTCTTCAATCACTACCCAAAGTGCGTATCGTTGGGAAACACGTCTCCGTCCTTCTTCTTCTTCCGCGTAAACATACCATCCAGCGTGCCCTGGCTGGCTTCCCGCTTATGCGCTACCTTCTTCTCGCTCTTCACTGCCGTCTTTCTCGCTTGTTTAGGATTCATTGGCTCGTCGATGTCCTGCTTATCTTCATCCGCATCATCTTCATGTTTGACCATGGCGCCCGGTGGACCTTGATCCCCCTCCGTCGGCCCTTCAGCACCATCCTCAAACACCTTTCGCCATGACCCATCCAGAACTTGGGGCGAGTTGCCGTAGAGATTGACATGATACGCATTCTTCATTCCGGCCAAACAGATATCTCTTCTTTCCGCAAAGTCAAACATCGGCTTTGGGTACGTCTTCATGCTACCCTCCGCCGCAGCCGACCCATCACCCTTGATCAAGCAACCCCATTTCTTCTGGTCGACAATCGGCGCCTTGTGCGGCTCGTAGATGTATTTCTTGTCAAACTTTGCCAGTTCAGGGACATATTTCCTCACAAGTTTGCCCTCTTTGTCCCATTTCTGGGGAAATGCAATGGGCGAGTAGCAGCGGTAGAATTGGGCGAAAAAGGCAGTGCAGGATAACCACTGCCAGTTTCCAATGTTACACGCTGCCTCGTGGTCAATGAGCCATTCTTCAAATACTTCAGCACCGCGCTCCCAATCAATGTAGCAGCCGCCTCTTGTTAGAAAACAGGCCACGGCATGCCTTCCCAGATGATGGATCCAGCCTTCTTGTGCAAGCTGGCGCATGAGCGCGTCAATCCATGGAAAGCCTGTTTGGCCGTGTTTCCAGCGCTGAAAATGGGCTTCTGCTTCTGCGTTGTCGACCATGTACTCTCCAGTGATGAGGCCCGATTTGGTGTCGATCTTGGACGGGAGATGCCAGGGTATAAAACGGCAGTTTGGGTTGTTGTACGTCTGACCAAACGAGTAGCCCAGTGCTGCTTGTGCGCCAAAGTACATGTCGCGGAAGAGAAGTTGGCCTGTCAGACTAACAGGGGGCTGAGAAGCTTTTCCCTTGAACTTGTCAACTACATCCTGTGCACGCCAGTAGAAGAGGCGACAGCTCAAGGACCCAAAGTGCATGTGTGGCGAGAGAAGGGTAGTAGACTGAGGTTCAAAAGCCGTGGGGGCGGTCTTGGGCTTCTCAAACGTCGCTGTATACTCTTCATTTGCGATAATCTCATCAAGAGCCCGTAGTGCTTCTGTCTCGCCGCCACGATGGGCTGTTGTTGCGGGTTTTAGACCCAGTTCTTCCATGGTGGGCACTGCAAAGTCACCGTTTGGCCCTGCCAACGCAGTATACGACGCCTCATCACCGTCTCTTTGTATCGCATTCACATCTGGCTGGCTTTCTGGTCTTTCTTGGTCAAACTTCAGATCAGTATCGCCTGGATTGGGAAATGACTTTGGTGCTGGTATTGGTCTAGGAATCCGGCCAATCTTCTTGCCCGCAGCTTGGACCTGGGTAATGCTCATCGTCGGCTTCCCGTGATTCTGCTTTACCAGTTCATCGGGATCGTACAATGTCCGCCCCGTCTTCACAACCACCTCTACGCCTGACTTTCTCGCAATCTCCAATACCTTGTCATCTCGCTCCCTAGCATACGCATCCGTGTCCTTTTCAAACACCATATGAGTAATCTTCCAGGCTTTGAACAACTTCGGAAACAGAGTCTGCGGAGCTTCCCGGATAACAAAGAGCTTCGACTTTGGATTCAGCTTGGTGATGGACTTGGACAGGTCATCCTGACAGTCTAAAAGATACTGCCAGCGATTGGGCCCTACACGAGCGCGGTAGACATAGTGTGGATCCCATGTCCAGATGGGGTAGAGACATGCTGGATTGAGGTCCAGGGCGGCTTTGAGGGCTGGGGAGTCGTGGAGGCGCAAGTCGGTCCTAAACCAGTAGATGACCCGCGGTTTCGACATTGGGCTGCGTCGAGTTTGGGCGAAACCCTGAGCTCGTACTGGAGGTGAACAAAGCTTGCAAAGAAATTGGATCGGGGTTTTTTGAACGCCTGCAGGATGAATGCCTAGGACGCAAAAGCAAACGTGATGCTGTCAACCAATCCACGGAAAGGCGCGTAGCATCCATGCTGTCATGGATCGAAGCTAAATGCTCGCTTATCTGCTAGGTCTAGGTGAAAGACCAATCGGCCTTATAAGTACATAGCAGCCCAAGTTTCCTTGGAGGTGTGAGTGTCTGAGTCGTGGATAACTGCTACTAAACAAATGGGGTGATATCGTTGGTTATATGAATAAACGAAGCTCGACAGATGCCAGCGCTGCCCGAACTATAATAGCAGCCGTGACAGCTCAGCGTGTCAATGAGGCTCGAATGTCCAACGTCGAGCTTACAGGTCCCTGCAGCACCCCCACGCAGCTGAAGCCGTAGGTATACTTTTGATTTTGTCGCCACAGGTAGTGACGCGCCATTTGAAGTAGTGGCACGCGTTGCAGGTGGAGTGGTCACGACATTGTATGGATGCGTCTACCCCGCACGAGGCAAAGAGGCAGTTGATCGGAGGAGCGTCGGAAGACAAGACCAAGACCAAGACGACGTTGGCGGACACCAGCAAGGCCGGTTCGCGCATGATGATGAAAGAAGTCCAGCCAGCAACGGCTTGTTAGCGGGTCCTGCATCGTCAGTCCAAGGTTTGGATGGGCTCGGGAACTAGTTCGAGTGCTGGCTGCGGGCCCAAGCTCCCCGAGCTCGTGGCCAGGGTTTATGGTGTGAAAACAATCTCTCAACAGATAATTGTGCGCGCTTTGACCGTTGACCGACGGGCCGTGGCCTCATGAATTGACTGTGACGTGTACCCCTAATTATCTTTCAGGGTTATCAGTAGACTGAGGGTGCCGCAACTACCGCTGCAGCTACTTGCCTTGGGTACAACTTGCACTGCAGATCGGCGCCTACTCAATACGGTACTTTGCTGCGGGGAAACAACACGGCCTGCATACCAGCTATCTGCCGTCTGTCTTTGACTCAATTTTCCAGTGACTCTTCTCCTCACTTTGTTGTGTCCTTGCACGTCGACTACAATGGCGCAGCCCTTGGAAGATGCGTACATTACGGTGCGTGAAATGTAGTGGTACAAGCACGCGAGCTAACATGCATGCAGCTTCTTATGAGCGATTCCTACCTGCCAGGCGCTGTGGTTCTCGCCAATTCGTTGCGCGATGCCGGCACCAAGAAGAAGCTTGCCGTGCTCGTCACCATGGACACGCTTTCTGCGGACACGATCGGTGAGCTCAAGACGCTCTACGACTATCTGATCCCGGTCCAGCGTATTCGAAGTTCCAATACTGCCAACCTGTATCTTATGGGACGGCCTGACCTGGCATTCGCCTTCACCAAGATTGCCCTCTGGCGGCAGACGCAGTTTCGCAAGTTGGTGTACCTCGATGCTGATGTGGTAGCTCTCCGCGCGCTCGACGAGCTCTTTGACATTGAGGCGTCGTTTGCAGCAGCTCCAGACATTGGCTGGCCAGATGCCTTCAACAGCGGTGTCATGGTGATCAAGCCCGACATGGGCGAATACTGGGCGCTGCAAACCATGGCTGCGGCTGGCGACAGCTTCGACGGCGCAGACCAAGGCTTACTGAACCAGTACTTCGAGCACCGTCCGTGGCAGCGACTAAAGTTTACTTACAATTGCACCCCCAACGCAGAGTACCAGTGGGAGCCGGCCTACCGCCACTACAAGCGCGATATTGCGGCCGTCCACTTTATCGGCAAGAACAAGCCCTGGTCGAGCCAGCATAGCGGCGGAACAGGCGTCTATGGAGAGCTCCTAGCGCGGTGGTGGGCTGTACATCAGAGGCATTTGCACAGGGAAAAGGCAGCCAAAGAAGCGGGTGAGGCACATAGCACTCAAAGTGACTTTTCCTCTCCCCCTGCCCCTGTCGAGGCCTCGGTTGTTACCACTGAGTCTCCTATGACTGAACCTGCCGATGAGATACAGAATATTGACCAAGGAATGACAGAACCTACCCCAGAACAACGCAAGTTTTCCGCGCCCGAGATGGAATGGGATGCCACCAAGTATGTCTCTCAATAACCTCGCCGATTGTGCTAACAATCCAGGGCTGGACCACCGTCAGAATCGAGGCCCGAGGCTGCCAACCTCCCGACCCATACCTACACATTTAGTGACAACCCCTCGCTCTTCCAGGCGCCGCGTACCTACCCTGAAGCCCCAACAGACATGTGGTACAAGGTTCCAGACAACAAACCCAAGCCTGCTGACCAGCCCAAGCCTATTTTCCCCTGGGAGCAAAAGGCCGACAAGCCCAAGCCCACTCGTGTATTTGCTGAAGATTTATCCCCAGAACCTACCCCTGCCCCAACCCCATCGAACCACCCCTTCTCCACTAGACATTACGATGACGAGATTGCCGTCTCAGGAGGACCAGAGCAGGTCGTGAGCCCCGACCAGGGCAATGACCAGCAGTGGCAGTCATACCAACGTGCCAGTGTCAATGCTTGGGACAGCGTTCCGGGTATTGAGAATTATGTTCGTGCCATATCGGACCTCAGCGGAAACGGAAAACGCGGTAAGAACCAATCTATGCAACAAACCACGGGCACGGATGACATCAGTTCACCGTTGCTGGAACGCAGACAACGTCGAGAGAGCCTTATCCTGACCGATTTCCCAACCGCAGAGGACCGTCCGAGTCTCCCCGTTACCCCAGCCCCTGTCCGTCGTCCAATGTTCTGGGGTGAAGAGAGGAACCAAGCAGGCGAGCTTCCTTCGGCTACAGGAGTGCCCGACCAGACCGAATGGGTATGTTTTCTGCCTCCTATGCATCGATCTGTAACTCGGACTAATTCGAATAGAATCCTGAAGAGAGACTCGACCAGCTCCGCCGCTCCTCCGTTATGGAGTTTGAGCACCTGAAAAAGGACGAGCATCCAGACCCACCGTTGCGCGCGCTTCCCGAGCACTCGATTGCTGGGGAGAAAGAGGCCAGCGCCACCCATGCTCTTGGATTAGATGGAGCCAACGATGGTCCCGCCGAGAAAGACTTTGCCACCAGCCAGTCCACGCTTCCTGAAGGCGAGCAGGTCCAGGCTGTAGGAGACGAGCTGAACCCCACGCAGTCTGCAACCTAGGAGGAGAGATTCATGTTACACGATACTACGAGCTAATGTCTTGCGGGAAGGCGGCGATTCCATCTTTATGTTCATGTTCCCGTTTGTACAAGTGTATACTTCGAGATTATTGCGCGCGAACTGGGGTTTCTGCATTTGCATGCATTGCGTAGCGCTCATAGCATAACCGTTGGCTTGGTGATTAGTCTTGAATTTAGGACGCGTGATTCGCATATGTGGGCTGTATGCAGGGACGCAGGAAGCATTTCGTGCATGCGCTCGGGCCGGTCGCTAAAGAGCTTGACTCTGCTGGCGTTGGTGCAATCTGCTGAGTTGAACAGCTGCAGCCACAGACATGCCACCAAGATGGTCGGGCCCCGCTTACTGCCCCTCACTGCCTTTGCCCCTCGGGTTGCGGCCTTCACACACGCACCTGCCCGATTAATACCAGCACCAGCCTGTAGACCGCGAATAAGCGCGTCGACCACCTTGATACGTTCCCGGAAATTCCTTTCCTCTTCATCACTGTTGCAGAGATCTGTCGTGGACGCATATACGCCTGATCGACTACCAAACACTGCCTGGCCCTACCTATATCGACTGCTCGACAAGATGGCGCACCTTGACCCGTACTTTAAGCAGGTGGATGCCCTACAGGGTAACTTCATCGAGAGACTGAGGGAGGCTGTGGCTATCCCAAGTATCAGCTCCGAAGACCAGAGGAGGCCTGATGTCGTCAAGGTAGGTGGAGTTTCACACTTTACAACAGCTTGGCTGACTCTGTTAGATGGGCCACTGGCTCGCGGACCAAATCAAGGCGCTCGGGGGTACCGTTGAGCTCCGTGAGCTTGGAAAGCAGCCCGGTCGCGAACATCTCGACCTTCCACCGTGTCTCCTAGGACGCTACGGAGACGATCCCAAGAAGTTCAACGTCCTCGTCTATGGCCACTACGATGTTCAGCCTGCGAACAAGTCCGACGGCTGGGCGACGGACCCCTTCACCCTGAGCATCGACGACAAGGACCGCATGTACGGACGTGGCAGCACCGACGACAAGGGCCCGGTTCTGGGATGGCTGAACGCAATCGAGGCACACCAAAAGGCAGGTGTAGAACTGCCAGTAAACCTAGTCATGTGCTTCGAGGGTATGGAGGAGAATGGTTCGGAGGGTCTAGACGACACCATCCGCGCAGAGGCGAGGAAGTTCTTCAAGGATGTGGATGTTGTGTGCATCTCGGACAACTACTGGCTGGGAACCGAGAAGCCTTGCTTGACATATGGTGTCCGTGGATGCAACTACTACCAGATCGAGGTCTCTGGACCTGGCCAAGATTTGCACTCTGGTGTCTACGGTGGCATGACACACGAGCCCATGACCGACTTGGTGCGCATCATGAACTCGCTGGTCGACCCTGACGGCAAGATTCTCATCAAGGGCGTCGACGACCTCGTTGCCCCCCTTACCGAAGAGGAGGCTGCCCTCTACCCACCAATCGCCTTTACCATGGACGGGCTAAGGGAATCGCTCGGTGGTGAGACGACAATCCACGACAACAAGGAGGATGCGCTAAAGCACAAGATGCGATACCCTTCTTTGTCGCTTCACGGCATCGAGGGTGCTTTCTACTCCGAAGGCGCAAAGACCGTCATCCCAGCCAAGGTCATTGGAAAGTTCTCCATTCGCACAGTGCCCAACATGGAGATTGACCCAGTCACAAAGCTCGTCGAGAAGCACATCAACGATGAGTTTGCGAAGCTCAAGTCGAAGAACAAGATGAAGTTTAGCGTTGTACACTGCGGAAAGTGGTGGGTAGAGGACCCCAACCATCCCAACTACACTGCTGCAGCAAAGGCCGTTGAGAGAGTTTTTGGCGTCAAGCCCGATATGACAAGAGAAGGCGGCAGTATCCCTGTGACGCTCACTTTCCAGGAGGAGCTGGGCAAGAACGTCTTGTTGCTGCCCATGGGTAGCTCAACAGATGCCGCGCATTCGATCAACGAGAAGCTCGACAAGCGCAACTATATTGAAGGCACGAAGCTACTCGGCGCCTACCTGCACTATGTTGCAGCGGAGCTCAAGCGCGATTAGTCTGTAGAACAGATGATAATACCCGTGAATATATTGAATATCTCGTTCCAAAACTGAATGAGTAAACGTGATTTCGTTTTGGAAGCTATTTCATACAATTTAATCAGTTCCATTGATGTTGTCGCACTGGAGGGGTCGAGGTGCAGGAGTCCAGCTTTGACCACATCGGGGCGGAACAACTAAAAAAGTTCAGCGTGGAGCCGCAGCCTTGGAAGCAAGACGACAGCAACAGCCATTGCGGGCGCAACCTCGCAATCCCACGCCCATAACGCCCAAATCCCACAATGTCGACATGTAAATCACTCCTCCGCGCCACTACCCCCTTCCAAAGGACCCAACCGTCCCTTCTTCCCCTAACGCAAACCCGCTGCGAATCCTCCACACGCCGACACCGCAAACTGCTCGCTTTACCAGAAGCGCCATCATACACGCCGTCGAGCCCTTCTCCGTCGCTCATCTTCAATCCCCCGTCGTCCGCCCCAAACGTCTACCATACCCCACTCAAATTTCTCCCCAAGCAAGATAAACGTCGACAAATCATCACGGCTGCACAATCCTACGCAAACAAGGCATCGTTGTCGCGACAAACGTCAAACATTGCTGCACCGGGTACTCCCTTGTCAGACTCTAGTCTCCTCCCGCCGCGGCCCTCTGCTGCCCTCCCGCAGCCGGTGCGCGAACCCTACGAGAAAAAGTACCATTTGAGCGAGGCGCAGGTCGAGGAGATACGGACGCTGCGGCGCCAGGACCCAGATACATGGACAAGAGTACGGCTGGCGGAGAAGTTTGGGTGTAGTCAGTTTTTCGTGGGCATGATTGCGAAGAATCCGGAGAAGGCGAAGAGGGTGGAGAGTATGCATGAGGAAGCGAGGAGGAAGTGGGGGGCTAGGAGGCGTGAGGCGAGGGAGGATCGGGGGAGGAGGAGAGTGCTTTGGGGGAGGGACGCTTGAATGGGTAGGGGTATTTTCAGACTACCGGCATGAGAGAGCATGTACATTTTTCTGTACTGTATGGACAGTTGTGTATAAGGCTTGTCGCAGTACATACGTTATCTTCCATTTCCATTACCTCCTCTGCTCTCAATCTCTACCCCTTCTCCAACGCGAAAGACAAACCCCTCGCCCTCTCCCCTCGTACCAGCCCCTACTTTCCAACACTCGAATCTCCCCTTCTTAACCACATCCCTGCGTTGCAATCTCTCCGCTTCTGCCTCTTCTATACTTATTGTAGGCGCAAACTTTAGCACCTCGACACGCCGCACTGCCAGCCGTGTCACGGGTGTGCCTTGTGGCCAGGATGTGGGTATTAGCGGGCGATACGTCGATGGCGTGGTAGAATGCGAGGTCAATATTGTAGTACAGGAGAGAAGAGACGATAGTTTAGACAGAGAAGACGTCAATCGTGTGGATGATGTGGATAACGTAGTCGATGCATTTGTATGATTTCGGAGGTCCCATGTGAAAGCATCCATGTCTTCCAGAATAACGGAATGTATGCGTCGGTTTATACTCTTGTGTTTTTCTTTATCGAACAGGTAGGAGGGGAGAGAGTGTAGTGTTGCCAGTAAGCACTCCCAGGATTGGGGGCGGAAGATGTGAACGTGTTGGAGGGCTGTTTTTATCGTGGCACAAATATCGTGCTTCAGAGAGTCGATGGATTTGTTTGCTTTCATGATTTTCGATTCCATCACCTGAATGAGGACTTCTGCTAGGCGGGTGACACTGAAGTGGTGTAAGGGGTCGAAGAGAATGATGGCTGCTTCTTGGCCGTCTAGGGGGGTAGTGGAGAGTGAATTAGGTAGAATGGCGTGAGCGATGATGAGATACAAGATTGAGGATTTGCCGGCGCCGGAAAGATGATGCGTTGATGGTGGGGACACAATTTCGACAATTGGTGGACCTGGGATTGATATTATGGTGTCTAATTCTGGTATCCTCAAGTAGGAAGGTTGTGTAGTATTGGTGTTGCTATTAGAAGTCAAATATAATTCCGCAAAGACAACATAACTGTTAAATAAACTTGCCTTTCCTGCTTCTTTAATAAGAGTTCACGAAGAGATCCTAGGACCTTTTTTTGTCAGCATGGTTGTTAATTTCGCGCTGCCAACGTGCTCGTATTTATATAACGTACCGAACTCAAATCCTCAACAGCAACTTCACCCAACAACCTCTCCCCCAGCCTCTTTGCCCCATCATCACTCATCACTCTATCCCGCGAAAACTCTTTCTCACCAACTCCACACCCCTTTCCCGCAATGTCGCCACCACTCACTATGATCCACCCCTCGGAGCTGGAAGCCGCAATCAACGTTCTCCCGTCTGGCAAACCACGGAAACCACCAATCAACCTCGGCGACTGCGAACTGAAAGAACTCGTGCAGTATAAATGCAATATTCAAGAGTCAAAAAAGGAAAAAGACAGTACTTTCATAGTTTGTGAGCCTGTGGTGAGGTTGTTGAGAAGGTGAGTGATGTGGGGTGCAAGTTCTTGGCGGCGTGACCGAGGTCAGACAAGACATCAACTGACCACTGTTAGATGTGCGGGGGGCTTGAGTGTAGAGACGACAGCATGGGAGAGCTGGAAAGCTAGACAGGAAGGTGCGAATGGAAAATCATGACCACCAGCGGAAACTTGTCAAACACGCAGCTGGTAATGGACGACCACATGCAGATGCTTATTTGTAATTCGTACTAAGAGTTACAGGGTTGAAGACCCAGCAAGATATGCAATCGATAGATGACGGTAATTCGCACGATATGCCACTTGGGGCCAGCTGTCTACTACTTGACCAGCTTATAACAACTTCTAGCGGAAAGAATGATCAACACCGCTCGCATGCCCTAAAATTGCCCCAGACCAGGCGGAAATGCAGATACCCAAACGCCTCGCTATCAAAATGCTGCAAATCGACTTTTCGGACCAGTGACGCACATATATTAGACACCGCTGGCAGACTTTCTCCAATACTTCTGCTCGTAGTTGACATGTACACCCTCCTCGAGATTAACGCTCCGATCGGTCGTGGGCTGCCGCGCTGGCACATCGCGTGACATGGCCCAATCGCCGTCCTCGTCTTCATCCAATCTGGCTTGTCGCCGCTCTTCGTCCCGCTCTCTTTGGGTTTCTTCTTCCACCAGATCGGCCATGGCCGACTGCCACAGCTTGTCGCTCTCCTTCATGCGCCGACTCCGTTTCCGTTTTCCGACGTTTTGTTTCTGAACGCCTGCCTTTTGTGCAGCCATTAGTTTTCTAAGACTCTGCTCGGCCAAGATGCCCTCTTCTGTGGCCTTTTCTCGAATTTTCCGCGGGTCATTCTCACGGCTGGTGAAGACGGGCGTGGCTGTGTATGTGTGCTTGGAAGGGAATCCAGGAAAGTGCTTGGGTATATACGGACGCGTCTCTTTGTCTGCCTTTCCTGACAGCTCGGGGCCCAACAAGGACTCGGTATCGGGCGGAGGAGCCTCTGGGGGCGCTGGAGGTGCAAAATGTGGTTGTAGTAATGATGGCGGAATATCGCCCATGTCAAAATGCTGTTCGAGGGGGGCAGAGCCACGCAGGCCCGAGGATGTGAGAGCATAGACCCAGTCGTGTGCTACCGTTTCGGTGCGCCGCGAACTGGTCATGGATGTCCGCACTTGTGCTAGGAAGTTCTTCATGTCTGTTCAGGTCAGCATACAAACGTAATTGCCTGTGCATGTCGCAGTGAGGCCTACAAGATTCCACCAGTGCCCGGAAGTCCTCCAACGCGTCCGGGCGCGCGCTCTCGAACCCGATAGCCTTGCACTGTATCGCTATTGCGCGCCGCAATTGCTGGTCGAAGAAGTCTTTACTCTCGCCGTAGGGGTCCAATTCTGCGCTGATGGGGTCGGCAATGTGCTCGATCGGCTGCGTATGTTGCAGTGCACGAACGACCTGTCGTCTCTTGGGGTGTGGTTCGCCGTATGCCGGCGCGTCCTCCGCAACGCGCGCCCTCTTCATGCCTGCGGTTGCGCCCTCGCTGCTGGCGCTGGGGGATAGAATGATGCCTGGCATATGCTGCTGGTCTTGCGAGTCTGGTGTGGGTGTCGTCGAGTGTCGTCGTTGTGCACGCGAGGATGGTTGCGTTATCGGTAAGTGAGAGCGCTGTCGGGAGTGAGCGGTCGCATTGATTGCGGGCAGGCGTGCTCGCGATAATAGCGGGCGGAGAGGTGCGTGTGGTCAGGGCGGCTGCTATTGTCTTTCACTATACTGCTGCCGTTGGCTTTCAGTCGGGAGCTCAAGGCGCGGGACGCTAGGCCACCGACGTCTTACGTCAGCAGCTGCAGTTCTCCCGTCGAACCACCACAACTTCATCTATCAGACGACGACATTCACCACATCCCCGCAACCGCACCGGCGCACTACAACTCTCCACTCTACGAAACAAACTCAACAATGCCAATCAAACCAATCACCGGTGTATGTGGAGCCATTGGGTGCTTTGCACAGGCGGGGCAGCACGCTAATGACTGGACTGCAGATGCTCCGACGACAGGTCGTGCTTGACCTCTCCGTTGGCATGGGTGAGTGAGGACCTTGGGAGGTCGCGCGGTGTCTTTGGGGCAGTTTGGAGCCCTCCAGACGCACGCGCATCCTGGCACCTTGACTAACAGCAACCGCAGGTCTTGGTCTCGTCACCGGCTATGGCTGGTGGTACGGTACGTGAAGAGACGGCGATGCAACAGCACTTGCCTTTTCATTTTCGCGACTTGAACTCACTCCCCAAGGTTACCATGTTCCCGCCGTCCGTCACCGTGACGCATTTTACCAAAAGCTCGAGGACGAGCGTGCGGCAGCTCTGGGCCAGAAATAAACGCCTTCTCCTGTGAACCGCAGTCTCCTTTGTATCGACCAGTCAGGAAGCATAGAGTGGACATTAGCTGGGGATCAAGGTGTATCATATCTGGGTAATCTTCGACAGCAAGCCGAATAGACGCAGTCAAACGATATCACGCAAGCGCCTTTATGTTGTAGTGCAGTGACATGCATCTTCCACCATCTTCATCGTCTTCTCGGGCTTGCTAATGGTCTAGTCTTGCATGAATCACGTTTCGCCAGGTACATCTGACGCAAGCCATTGTATATCGGGCGATTATATTGACCCGTCTATATGCCGTCTAGTACTGCCGATTCCTTCCATTCCACTTCTCAGCCCATTTCTTAGCCATTGTTTATCTCGTCCTTTACATGTTTTATAGGAGTGTCGCCTTGATCGGCTTGGATCCGTGCTGTTCTTGACAGGCTGGAAACAGATAGTCATACCTACATGGCAGCCCTTGCAACTGCTCTATAAGCCTCGGATGGACGTGAGTCAGGTCCAATACCCGAAGTCAATACCGAATCCATTGACAATAAATCACAGCGCAGAAAAGTCAGGCGGACTCCAAGCCTCCGAGGCGCGCATTTTCGGCCCCGGGCACAAAAGTTTGCAATGATCCGAAGGAAATAGGCATCGTCACTTCATCCAACTCGTCTCACGGAGCATACGCGAAACTGTCTAGAGGATTACATGACGCGTTACACCAATGACGGAGCAGTGAGCGGCGCTAGTCGTGACACTAGGTGGTCCGACGCGTCCAGCGGGCGTACTTGTAGATTATGAACACGGCCAACGGCGAGTTCCAGTTGCGGCGTCATGGCAGACGAAGCAGCGGTGGCGGGTGAAGAAACGTGTCAAACGAGCATAGCTATTGGTTCCCTGACGATGATGCGCAACACTACAGGGGCGCGTCGCCGCCAAGGACGGAGGCGAGCCCAAAGCGCGGGTCAAGCGGCGTAATAAGCATGGCTGGAAGGGCAGGCAAAGTCGCGGGCGAAGATCAGAGAGAAAAAGCAAAGTCAGGGATGGGACGGCGAACTGGGAACTCGAGGTGACTGCTTTGACAGCGGCGTCGTTGTTCGGAACGGGTGTGGGTGGAGAGAGGCATTAGCTGGCGGGCGGCGTGTTAGTGCGAGATTGTAAGATGGCTAGTCCCTCACGATCCATGGTCGGACTAGGGCAACGGGGAAAGGTGAAGTGGAACTCTTGGAACCCAGAGCCAGGCGTGCCCCTTTGCGGTGCCTTCTGCCCAGGCAATTTGGCAGCTCCATGCAAGGGACGAGGCCTTTTCGTATTGACGACGCCTGGCAGAGGCTGTGGTGCAGATGACGGGCTATCGACCAAGGCAGCCAATGTGCGGGAGCGGTGCGACGAGGCACCGGCGGACCTGGCCAGGACTCGGGAGGAGGTGATTTGAGAACAAGGTTACGGCCGTCATGGGCCTGATCAGCGACGGACGCAGAGCAGGCGGGCCAAAATGGCTAGCAAGAGACGTGTTAGTGGGAAAAAGCAAAGGCGGCGACCGTCGACCAGGCTTTAATTGAGCTTGGGATGAAACCTCTGGGCTCGACACGCAGCGGTGCACACAGCAAAGCTGCCACAGTTGTCAAACACGATGCAAAGGCTATATTGGGCTATGAGCAGCGCGATGCGAGCGACTGCACGACCAAGGCGCATAGGCCGGCAGGTGGGCGGGGAAGAGAGGATCAAATGTGCATCGTCACTTGTTCCTGCTCGCTGGTCGTGCGGAAGATTTGGCGGGTCGCGCTAGTCTTCCGCCATCCATTCGACCACAAGACGGCTGTGAAAGCCTGGTGATACGCGGGAGCACTCAGGTGACGGGCATGAGTGTAAGCGGGAGGGTGAGGGAAACATGTATCGTTATCGACAAGTCCATGTCATGTTGACTGGGCTGAGTGAGAAAGAGGGGCTGATGACACTACTTTGCTCACCGCAGAGCAGGCGCGATGGGGGTGACAGTTGTAGAGGGCAGCTGGCAGCTGTGCGCACCTCCCCCGTCGCTCTCGGACCCTACCGTTAGAAGATGGGCTGCGGCTAACGCATGATCCCTGCATTGCATGGTGGCCGTGCCCTGTGCCTTTGCTCAGCAGGTAGGTGCGGCCCACCTATGGTCCAGCAGAGCAATCGCGCCCGGTCGTACTTGCCCACGTCCTCCCATCTGTCTGTTCGTAGTTGCTGCAACGCCTTTTGCAGTCTCTGCCACCCTTGCCCCCATCGACTTGTGCGCAACCTCTTGATCTAGTTCACTATTATCCAGTATATGCACCTTGTCCGTCATCAAGACTACCCGTGGTCGTCAGAGCTGCTACAGCGTAATTTAGGCGCCATCGTTTGGGTGCTTGCGCTAAGCCGGCCGCCCTGTCCGCGTCGATCAATCACTCAAGCCCTCGCCATTCAACTCACACTCCAAGCCTCACTCGCCGTGCTGGCTGCATGCTGGCCCTCTCCACCTCCATCTTCGTCCCCCAGAGCCTGCGTGCTCTCTACTACAAACACTGACGACCTTGATACTTGCGTCGAGCTTGGAGTCGCGTCTTGCCAGAGCCCCAGCCAACGCCCGCCGTCTCGACAAGCCGTCGCCTCGACTTGACCACCACCACCACGCCTCGACACTGTACCCGTCTCACCGACCGTCACGCACCGCATCTTCCTGTCCTGCATGAGTGCGGCTGTCCTTTGCACATCCGCGGCTCTGCACCGCCGTGACTCTTTCTCGCACTGCCGCCAGTTTGCGACGTAGCGCGCCCTCCGCCTGTCGCGCTCCAACATGAACAACCCCAACATGCAGCAGAACGGCATGCAACAGGGCCGGGCCTCTGCGGGCCTACACCACTTCATCCAGCACTATCGCCTCCAGCAGCAACAGGGCAAGATTCCAAACGGATGGCAACAGACAACCCAACCAGAAGAGCGCGGCCAACTTGCGCTGCAGTTCTTCACCTCGTACCGCCTACTGAAGCCAGAGCTCTCCGAGGTCGAGGTGATGCGTTCTGCCCTCCAATACGAGACGCAGACGTTCATGTCGGCCGCCTCAAAAGAACAATACGTCAACAGCATTAAGCAGAAACTCATGATGATGACAAACGCACGTCAGCAGCGCCTACAGGGCGGCGTTCCCAACCCGATGAACAACCCGATGAACGGAATGAACCCTGCCCAAATGCACATGATGCAAATGAACCAGCAGGGCCCTAGGCAAGGCACTCCACAGCAGTTCAACGGCGCGTTTCCCAACGCCCAGCTCCAGCGCCCCATGCAAGTCTCGCCTGTCCCCATGGCTCAAGGGGGCTCTTCCATGGGCGTCAACGGCGCCAACCCCGCCAACATGAACCAAGGCCAAAACACCCAACAACCAAATATGCAGCCCAATCAAAACCAACAGAACCGCCAGGAGCAGTTGATCATCAATCAATTTGCCAAGAAGATTATGGAATCCTGCAAGGAAGAGATCAGGGTCAAGTTTGAAGCCGACATCCGCGCCTGGCCCGAGGATAAGAAGCAGCAGTTGCTCGCTCAGGGCATCAATCCTCTGTTTCTCCGATTCCGACAACACGCCGAAATGCTCTATCGACGAGGCGCCCTCAACCAGCAGGTTCCTGGCCAGAATGCCGGAGCGATGCAAGGCGCTGCCCAGCCAAACCGGATCCAAGGCCAGCAGATGACTATGAACCAGCGCCAGCCCAACCAGGAGTTTGACTTTACTGAGATTGCAAACCGCCAGATGGAGGCCATGCGCAGTCAGGACCAAGGCAACACTGTCGTTCCCGCAAGCAACAACCCTAACAACGCCGGCCAGATGGGCGGTTTCCAGGCTCAAAACTCCCAGCCGGGCCAACCCCAGAATGTCATGGCACAGCGTCAGGCCGAAGCCTTTCATCGCCAGGCACAAGTCCAACAAGCACAAGCGCATGCTCAGGCTCAGGTCCAGCAAGCACAACAAGCGCGTCTGGAGCAACAACGCCAGCAACAGGCCATTCAGACACGTAACCAGCAGAACCAGCTACTTCAAGGTCAGATTGGCGGCTTGAACCTGCCCCAGGGTTCGCAACAAGCGAGTCCTGCCATGCCCATGCTCAATCGACCAATGCCTCCCCCAGGGCAACCGGGCCCTCCAGGAACTCCACAGCAACAGCGCCAGCCCCAGGCTCACGTTCCGATCATGACTCCTCAGCCCGGCCAGGGCGACGCCAACCTGTCAGAACTCATGCGTCAGGCGCAGCAAAGAGCCGTTGCTGTCCAACATGCGAACCAGCCATCGCTATCCGAGCAAAACCGCTTGAGTATGATGCCAGCCGATTTGGATCCCAATGCCAGGCAACAGCTCCTCAAGGTACCGGAGCACCAATTCAGGATGATTCTCCAGAACTATATGCTCAGCCGTCGCGGCAATATGCAAAACGGTGCTTTCCCGCCCGGTCAACCAAACGCTGGCCAGCCAAACATGCCCTTTAATCAGCAGCAGCAAATACCGCCGGGCATGCCTGGCCAAATGATTGGTGGCCCTAACATGCAAAACATGGCGGGCCGGCCTGGTATGAACCTCGCGCAGCAACAGCCCGGTGCTGGACCACAGCCCCCAATGGGCGCTCAGCGTGGACCGATGGTGAATCAGCAACAACGCCTTCAAGCAGCTTCTAATCTTCTCCGAGCCAACCCTGGAATCATTCACGCCACCGATACCAAGCCCTTCCCTCCAAACGTCCTCAACGCCCAAATCCGACAGAGTCTTCCCCAGGAGGTCAGGACTTGGCAGCAACTCAAGCTCTGGGCAAGTCAAAATCCCAACCTGGTTCCGGGTGTTGACAACCAGAAATTGCTCATGCTTCAAGTCCTACACTTCCAAGACATGGTGAGACAGTCCGGTGCACCTGGAGTCCAACCTCCACTACAAGGAGGCCAGGGACTCGCTCCACAGGCGCCAGCAAACCCTAACCAAGGTCCTATGAGGATGCCTCAGCAACAGAACATGCAGAACATGGCTGCCCTTCAGGTCTCGCCACAGGAACTGCAAAACTTCCGCGCGCGAATGGCCGGTCAGCCTCAAGCCAACATGTCGGATGAACAACTACGGAACTTTATGATATCGGTCAAGGTGAAGAGCTTCCAGCAGCAGAGACAGCAACAGCAGGCACAGTCGGCTTTGATCAACCAACAAGCCCAGCGTAACCAAGGACAGCAGGTTCCCATGCCGGTCCAGCAGCAGCAGCAGCCCAGCCGTACACCCACAGCGCCGCCCCCTACACAACCTACACCTCAGCCCAAGCCCGCGGCCAGGCCACCGCCACCACCACAGCCTGCGCAACCCCATCCTGCTAACAACGCTGGAAACAAGGGCACGAAGAGGTCAATGGATGAGACAGAGCCCAACACCGAGCCTGCTTCTCAAGCTCCAGCAATGGCTCCTTCGAGGTCCCAGCACGGTGACCTTACACCAGAGCAACTGACCAAACTAACCCCCACACAACATACTCAGTACAAGGCACAGTTGCTAAAGGCTCAAGACGCGTCCAACAACAAGATGCAACAGCAACGTGGACCCTCGCTCAGCCCTGAGGAACTGAAGCAAAGAATGATGGACCCGGTAAGGAACAGGCAGTACAAGCAGATGGCAGAGGAAGTCGAGAAGAGCCTCCCGCCCAGGCCCACCGTGCAATTGCCCCCGCAGCTACGATTGCCTCTACAAAGATCAATCAAGGAGAACTTTGCACGACTGAAGGGTGTCGAGCAAGCACTGCGTATATTCCATGCCTCCTACGACACCCCCGAGCCCGAACCGGTCATCCGCCAAATTATGCGATCACGCGCGCTTCTGTTCCAGCAGATGAACGAGGCCGACGGTACGCTCCACCCTCAGGTCACGTTGACAGTGGACGAGTTCAAGAACCACATGGGGGCGACGATCAAGTTTAGCTTCAAGATCATGGAGAAGGTGAGGCAGCAAGCGCAGGGTCAGAGTTCGGCTGCTCAGCAGCCCCAGTCCCAGGGTTCGACTGCCCCCGCCCAACTTAATGCCGCGAATCTGAAGATCGTAGAACAACAAAACCGCAACCAGAAGGCTCCTTCTGCGCCCACCACCGACCGACCGCCATTCGCCATTGGCGCAGACTCCGGTCACGGCGCAGCGCACTACTTTGAGGGGGCGAGACCGGTCACGAACCTCGTCTTGCCGGAGAAGAAGCGCGCGAAGCTCGAAGCAGGTAGTCAGTCGTCCACTCCTGGGGCCAAAGCCTCTCCACGAATTGGCTCAGGTGCGAGTAACTCCCCAGAGCTCAGAAGACAGCCACCCCCTGAGAAGCAACTACCACAACGACCGACATTCCGATGCAACGATGCGGGCTGCGAGTACTCTGTACGAGGCTTCGACACCCAGGCTGAACTGGAGACGCACAGCCAGATCCATGCCAAGATTGAGAACCCTCTTCAGTTTGCGCTGGACTCCATGGCCGACTATCTTGACGTTGACCAGAAGACGGGCGAAGCAAAGATCAACCCCAATGCCGCGAAGCAGGCTCCAAAGCCCGCGCCTGCTGCCCCACGTCCCGCACAAGGTATCAAATCTGATCAAACCCCTGGCGCCTCGCACAATGCTACCACACCTGCTGGCCAGCAGGCACCGGCCATGGTGCGCGTGCCAACACAAACAGGTGTCAAGGACTCGCCGTCTGCGAATCTGCTCAAGACGCCCCAGGCAATGACCAAGGTGGGCACTCCTGGTTCGGGTGCTCGCGGCAAGGCTACACCGGCCAGTATTCCCAAGTCAGCACCAAAGGAGCAGCAAGTCGCAGCTCCCGAGCCTGCGGTCAAGGAGGAGGAGCAACAGCCAATGCTACCCATGTCACTCCTTGACTACTCCTACGAGGACACTTTTGCAGCTCTCGATGCCAACCGTCCGTTCACAGTGCTTGATCTCAAGGATGAGGACAATGCCTGGGCGCTCCGCTCGCGACCCGCATCCCCGTCCACTACACCCGAGTCATCAGCCAAGGACACGCCATCCACCCGGCAGTCCGATATCTCCGAGAACGACAACCTGCTTATCAATCTCGACCTCAAGGACACGGATATGCCGGATGCCTGGGCCGTGGGCATGTACGGTGATGCTATCCCAATGGACATGCAGCTCTCCGAGGACCTACAAAGCCTTGGCGTCATGCTCCCTCCCATGGACAGCGAAGACATGATGCTTTTCCCCGATTATGGTCCCGGCACCATGATGGATCTCGATATGCTCGAAAAGACAATGGACAGTATGGGTGGAACCTTGGACCCGTCCATGCTTTGATTTGTGTATTCTTCACATATTTGCTATTTTGTTTCAGCCCTAGGGCTCTATTCATGTACCTGCAACGTCTGGATCTTTTTGTTTTGTTTTGTTTTGCTCGATACGTGATCGTGTCTGGATTTCATCACGGCCGTGTTTCTTTTTGTTCATGAGCGGCCATTTCTTGTGGATACGGGGTCTTCGGCGTGCTTGTGCAAAAAAGGGACTTTACATTCCGGGTTATGCTTACAAAGGTTCTCTTTATCCTTTGCTCTATCTTGGGTTCTTGCATGGTGTGTTGTGGATAATTATATACCCCCGTATTTTTCCTGCTTGCTTGTTTCCCTTGGTTGGGAGTGAGTGGTAGATCACCGGAATGAATGATTCTTCCTGATATAAGCGAGTGACGTTATATTCTAGTATGTATATGTGTATGTGTGTATGCGTGTTTCTACAATCCCTTATTGAGTCGCTCGCCCCTCTCGATCAATGCCTTAACCCATCCATTAAACTCTTGTCGCATCTCTACCGGTAGCACGTGACCCTGGCCCTTGATGAAGTGCTTCTCAATCTCGCCTTGTTCCCAGATGTCCTCTTCTTCCTCAATGCCTAGCCAATTCTCCTTGCCTGTGACGCCCTCGCCTTTTTCCAGTCCTCTCCAAAGCACCACACCAAGCGGAAACGTCAACATGCGATCCTTGGTTCCGTGCACAACCATGATTCTGTTCTTTCCTACCTTGTTCGCAATCTCTTGTAGTTGTTCTGGGCTCTTGTGATGCCAACCTGCGGCTACGGCTTGTAGCATGAAACCAGCCTTGGTAAAGTATTCTGGGTGCTGACGTTTCCAGAGCTCATTTGCTGCAAAGCGGTCGCCATTCGTAGGAAACGCTTCCACCACAGGCTCAAGAGTGTCAGGCGCGTCGAGCCATTCCTGGGTGTAAAGATTCTTCTTGACGCCTTCAATCTGCGCATCAAGAGACTTGGGTATGAAGAGGTTGGCGCGATTAATGAGGTTTTCTAGGAAGCCCTGCGAAAGTCAGCCCATCAATCATGTGACGACGTTAGCCTGTATCATCGATGCAGCTATTGAGTGACTGCACACTATATGCCGATCTTATAGCCGATTGCGGCCAGAACATTGTTGAACAGCCCAAGCTTACCGTGGTTCTAAACAACTGAGAAGCCGTCGAGACTAGCGACAGTGTACATATTCTTTGCGGTATAAGCATGGCCTGGGAATGTCAGTCTTCTCAAAGCGGAAGTATGGCCGGAATGCAGATGATCGTCAATGCGCGCCGATCGAGCACGTGCGGCGGAAGCAAACAGGTGGGGGCGGGGTCCAGCATGCAGAAGCCGAGTGCGCCCAAAATTGCAGGATGATGCCTGGTATCAGGTGCTCTGAGAGGTGTTTGAACCCTTAGCGCCTGAAACCAGGATGTATTTGTGATGGTCAACCGGAAGGTACAGCTTCCGACATCCGACTGAACAGCACACAATCCAGGCATTGATGCTGCTGACGACGACAATCAAATGAGCACTTACAAGTTCCTGGGCAATCATGCCACCCATGCTGATGCCAATGATGTGGATCTCGCGCTCGCCAGTCCAGCCGATGTGGTTGATGACTTCAACAATGTCCTTTGCCATTTCGGACGTCGAGTACCGGGCAGTGGGTTTATCCGAGTCTCCAATTCCCCGATTATCGATTACCAGCGACGAGTACTGATCGCCCTTGGTATGAGCAAAGTCCTTGGTCTGACGTTGCCATCCGTACTTCATGCCTCCAAGGCCCATGACCCACTACATCATGTTAGTTGCCGTGCTGACAGACACAAAAAGCCTTTTAGTGTTTCGGACCGCCGTACAAGCCAGGATCTTCCGGTTGGCTGTATATATAGTCTATCCAGAAACAGCAATGTGAAGAGCAAACGACAAGTAAACGGCGAGCAAACGGCGAGCTAAGGGCAAGCCGAGGACGAGGTATTCCATGCTTGACTCTCAGTCGTGGAAGATGCCCATGCCCGATGACCATTTGCATCTGTAGAGAGTGCATGTGCGCTCGGCAAGCTGAGACTGTGCAAAGAAGTTGAGACGGTCAATGCAACCGAAACGAAACAGTGACAGGCAGCACGGGTGGAAGTAAGGCAGCAACATTACAAATGCACCCCAGCCAAACCCCAAGCCTTCCTTGTTGCCTGATGTGCAGCGCATCATGTTGGAGGTTGATGGTGATATGGAATGTGGGACCACTTACCACGAGGTGTCGATCGCCATGGCCATGGATTTCATAAGCGATATTGAAGGGACCTCCACGATCTTTGGCAACAACAGCTTTGCCTTTGTGGCTTGGCTTGAGGTCCCAGATGGTGTGTGGATATTCTGGGTGCTTGAGCAGCTCTTCTGCAGTCAGTGGTGCCATGACTGGTCGTGGTGCGTGAAGAATGGCGCGATTCTCAAACTGGAGATGTCGTTAGCACCGGGCTAATGTTAGAGTGAAGATGTAACAAGGCGGTGGCGCAGCAGCATCTGGCGGCATCCCCCGCAAGCACCGGTACCGTTGCTCGGCATCTAACCGCGGTAGCGCATCGAAGACAAGATGTGTGGGAACGTACTAGCGTAGAGAGGTATCATATGATGGAGTGCTCAAGTCTATTGGGCACGTCTATTCGAAGCACTTAGGCATGTCGAAAACCGTGGCTATGGACTGGTTTTCGTCTGTGGAGCTCTCCCGTGCATATCCAGGGTCAATGTCAACGTCATTCGACTAGACCGCTTCAAGCATCGTTGGCACGACGCGCGAACTACGGACGAGGTGGCTTCTCGGCGACAGGCACAGTCAGCCCTGCAGTTGCTGATGCTCCAGGCCTCTTTCCTGGGACGTCAGGCCAGCGTCTCATCTCCCCCAGACGACTACTCTCTACAACCGCAATCTCAGCCACAACCGGTGGGCGATGCACGACTGCAGCAGGTTAAACAAGCTTTTGCCTCACCCGTACACCGCCGACGACGATTCAGTAGTCGATTAGTCTGCGACAGAAAGCCTCCGCTCCCTGTACATGTGCAAGTCGGCAGCGTTTCATCTTGCGCAGACCCCTCCCTGCCCAATATAGCCCGAACCAGATCCGCCCTCACAAAACAACACCGCGCCCCGGAGAGCCACCAGGGACGCATCGCATCATCGCCTCACGAACCCGCCATTGACGACACCACAACACCTCGACGACATGAATTCCTCGGCAAATGGCTTCTATGCCCCGGGACCGCCCATGATGAACCCTCCACCACCGCGCATCTTTGGCAGCGGCACGTTTGATCCCTCGCAGATGCCGGCCGGCAACATGTTTGCACACGACGACATGGACGACCACGACAGCAGCGACCCCAAGAGGCGGCGCATTGCACGGGTACGTACGGTTAGGTGTGCATTGGGCCCTGCTGACAGCTGTAGGCGTGCGACATGTGCCGGAAGAAGAAGATCAAGTGCGACGGCAAGATGCCTTCGTGTACACACTGCCAGAACTACAAGACCGAATGCATCTTCACCCAGGTAGAGAAGAAACGGCAACCGCCGAAAGGGTAGGTGCCCGGATATACCGGCACAACCCCGAACTGACATGAGCAGTGCCAAATACATCGAAGGGCTCGAGAACCGGCTTGCGCGCATGGAGTCGCTGATGCGCCTGTCGGGTGTCCTCCCAGAAGACGACGACGGTAGCACGGATCTGGCCACATTAGAAAGACGGTTGGAGGCACGAGCGGGACGGTCGGCAACACCCAGGAACAGCATAGACGACAGGAGGGCTTCTACAGCCCATACTGGCGGCCTTTCGACGACAAATGGAACGCCCGCACAGCCGGCCCTACCGAGTCCGAGAAGTGGCACCGCCTCGCCCGAGCCAGACGAGGATGCCGAGAACAAGGACAAGGATGAAGACGCGCTTGCCGAGATGATGTGTTCGCTGGTGACCAACAACTGCGGCGAGACAAGATATATCGGTACGTAGGCGAGTGGTTGCGATGTTGGTTGTACTGACTGGTTAGGCTCATCATCCGGCTTCTCCATCTTCTCACCCAAAGGCATACAATGGGTGAATGAAAAGACGGGAGACAACTCTTTCCGCGATATGATCTCCACAGCTGCCGTCGAGGACAACAAGTGGATCCAATGGCGACCGGACGTATTCCAAGACATCTTCAAGCGACGCGTATACAAGCAATTACCACCCAAACACGAGGCGCTATCCTTGCTAAAGGACTACTTTGAGAACTTCAACTGCATGTTCCCGTTGTTCCACGAGCCGACTTTCATGCACTTGGTGGATAAACACTACTCCAAAGACCCATACGAAGGTTCTGGGTGGTGGGCTAGTTTGAACGTGGCCTTGGCCTTTGCACATCGACTCCGTGTCATGAGTAATCTTGTACCGGCCGAGGAGGATGAGAAGGCGTGGCAATACTTGAAGAATGCCATGAGTGTTATGGTCGAGCTTACTATGCGCAATACAGACCTACTGAGTGTGCAGGCTCTACTGGGAGTGGTATGTAAAGTGAAAGCCCTGCATGTACCCGCTGACATCCGTAGGGTCTGTTTTTGTTAGGAACTCCAAATCCTCAGCCTACCTACTTCTTCGTTGCCACCGCCATGCGACTGGCACACAGTATCGGCCTCCACAAGAAGGGCGCCAACTTCAGTCTCAACGCCGCCGAAGTGGAGCAACGGAGACGAGTATTTTGGATTGCGTACATGTTGGATAAAGAGTAGGTTCCTCTACAAGCCTCTGTGATGTCGCTAACTTTTCCAGTATCTGTCTTCGATCTGGCAGACCCCCTGTTCAAGACGATGACGATATGAACGTCGAGCTACCGAGCGAGACTCCACCAGACAACATCGGCAACATCCCGCTGGCCGACGGCAAGGGAACGATGAACCTCTTCCGCCTCATGTGCACCTTTTCCGTCATCCAGAGCAAGGTCTACAAGGGCCTATACTCGGTAAAGGCCTCCAAACAGACCGATGGTGAGCTTCTCAACACCATTGGCGAGCTGGACAAGGAGCTGGAAGCCTGGAAGGACGGTATCCCTCTGGAGTTCCGCCCAGAACACGACATCAAATCCTCGCATACGCCGCTTATCCTCCAAGTCGCCGTGTTGCATCTTGGCTATTACAACTGCCTGACCACCATCCATCGCATGAGCGTGCACCATGGATACTGGACAAGCCGACTATCCAACTTTGCGATACAAGGCCTGAATGCGCGACCGCTCAACCCCCGAGTGTTCATGTCTGCCCAGTTGTGCGTGCAGGCCGCTCGTGCTTCCATTCATTTGTTAAAGTACATACCCAAGGGCGACCTGTCATGTGTCTGGTTAGTCATCTACTTCCCAGTCACCGCCCTCGTCACGTTGTTTGCGAATATCCTACAAAACCCGCAAGACACGCGATCGCGATCAGATCTCAAGCTGATGAAGCTTGTCGTCAACTTCCTAAACATGCTCAATGACGACCAAGGAAGCGGCAGTGTGAAGCGCATGTGCACCGTCTGTGCCGAGTTTGAGCGCATTGCTACTATTGTGCTAGAGAAGGCAGACCGCGAACACGCATCGCGACGAAAGAGGAAGCAGGGTGATAGCGAACAAGACGCACAGATTGAAGCGACTGCGGCTGAGTTGCTCTCAAAGACTCGCACGTCTCACTCATCGCCTCAGCAAGTCACGACACCACAACCTCCTACATCGGAAGGCATGATCTTCAACCCGGATTTCCACGGCTTCAACGAAGTAAGTTTAGTATCCTTTTCGTCAACTCGCCGCTAACATTCTAGCCCTTTCCCTTCTCACCCAACTTTACGCACGCCTCGCTGCAGCCGAACATCCAGATGAGCCAATACGGTTCACCAGGCATCACTGCCCAGATGCTCCAACAGCAACAGCCCCTTCCAATGACGACTGGCGGAGACGCCAACGCCGTCAGCTCCAACATCAGCGCCACCATGACGGGCATGGGCCAGTTTGATCAGACCTTCAACAACGTACCGCAGGACCTCTGGAAGATGCCCATGACTCTTGAATGGGATTGGGCAGACATGACTGGTGGTTTTTCCGGCTACGAGGACGGCATCAGTATGAATGGTGTGCTTCCCGATTTCGCAAACAACACCGGTCATGGGACGAGCGAGTTCAATCAAGGTGCCATGAATGGAGGGCGCTGAGCCTGACGTGGTATGGTTCCACGACATGTTCGATTACGTCTCCATGGAAGATGACGCACGCGTTGACGCCTACCTGGCTGCTGTCAGGATATCGGTACATACAACTTTAATTTCATGACTTCACGGCCTGTACAATACACTTTGAGCATAGGCTCTTGTAATTGAATACATGTTTACGGCGATCGGCTTCCGTGGCGCATGCACGATAATGGATTGCAAAATGAATATAGCATGGCACTACCACCAAGCTGCAGACGTGGCTCGATGACCTTCGTGCTCTAGTAGATATGATGCGGCCGACCTATATATATCTGGTCGCGGTCGTTGTCCATGTATCTACTTTGTTTGAGATATTTCACAATGGTCAATATTACGGCTCTGCTCTCTACGCTCATCACAGCAAACCATATTCTATCCTACCACGATGTGCTTGATGCTTTTGGCCACATTAGCGTCCGCAACTCCAACACGAACACTACCTTCTTCATCGCTCTCCAGCTCGGTACGACCCTCGTCTGTCTACGTTTTCATTCTAACGCATCCAGGCCCCGCCGTGGTGTCCGGACTCGCGGATATCGGCGAATACCTCATCTCCGACGGCAGCCCAGTGAACGGCACGAAAGGCGGCTACGCAGAGCGCTACATTCACAGCGAGATCCTCAAGAGATACCCCGACATCAACGCCGTCGTACACAGTCACGCCGAGGATGTCCTCCCCTACACCGTCATCGACACCCAGCTCAAGCCCGTCTACCACATGGCCGGGTTTCTGGGCGCCTCGGTCCCAAACTTCGATATTGAAAGCGCGTACCAAGACAGCGACCCCAGGGACATGCTTGTCAATAGTCCACGGCTAGGAGCTGCACTTGCCGAGACCTTTGGCGTAAATGAAACACAGCCCACGTCACCGCTTCATACGACCATTCTGCAGCGCGGGCATGGCTTTGTGACTGTGGGGGATGGGATAGAGCAGGTGACGGACTTTGCGTATTATGCGGCGAGCAATGCGAGGGTTCAGACGAAGGCCGTGTTGCTGGCGAATGCGGGTGGGGGGAGTGTCCAGTATCTCAGTCAACAAGAGACGAGAGCGACGACGGATATGAATAAGTGGATTGTGTTTAAGCCGTGGAAGCAGTGGGTTAGGGAGGTGGAGAGGAGCGGGCGGTATGTGAATGAGCTGAGCACGCCGCCGATGTCTGATAGTTAGGTGGATGTAGCTAACTATTCCATTCAACAACGTGTGTCCTGGGCTTGATCTGTGAGACTGGAATTACATGGGTTCCAAGCTAGCCAGGTGTGCATATACAGGCTAAGATCGATGGATGACAGAAGTTGCCTAATCAGGTAACTGTAGATAGTGACGCCATTGCATGCTAGCTCGGAGTTTTGACGGTAACTAGTCTAATGGCCGACGCGTCTATCTCTTCGGCATGTATCACGTTTAACAGCAGCCTTGCGTGTTGCTTGACCTCGGCTTTTTGTGAGGCGGGGTATAGCTGAGGCTGTATCGTTTGTCTTATTAAGCCACCAAAGAGTTTTATACGTATCTCTACTAGGTTTCACATCATTCTCTTCTTAAGATACTAACAAAATGCTACCGGATCATCACCCGCCCTGTATCCTTTTCGGTTATGACTGCAAGTAGCTCAAAGGAGATTCTTGTTACCTAACTAACAACTTCCTAGCAAGTCCGTTCACAAACAAGGTCCGGCTGGTGCTACAAATCAAGCAAATACCGTTCTGTAAGTCGAAATGTCCTCTCTCTCAGCGTCAACTGCCTGCAGCCAGCAGACTCACACTGATACCACATCAAAGTATACGTCCCTGTTCCATCAATGCTGCCGCGACCCCTCCTGACCTCGACATTCGCTCTGCACTATCGTAAGATACCAGTCTTGGCGATTGGTCGGGAAATCTACTGCGACACTTCACTCATCATCGAGGCATTGGAGCACTTCTTCCCAGCAGTTCAGGGTTGGGGGACTGTGTATCCAAAGGTTGAAGGCGTGGATGGATGGATGTATCGCGGGCTAGTGAGAGGATTCACCAGTTTCTGGACGGATGTAAGTGCGTGAGGTATAGGGGTAAATTATGGCGTTGATTGCCACGTAGAAACCGCTCTTCAGAGCAACGACAGGGCTGATACCGCCGAGTGTCTGGTCTACAGACTTTGGCAAAGACCGGGCACAACTTATTGGACATGCACTTTCACCAGCCAAGCTCGGGTCGAAGATTAACCAAAACCTATCCAATTTGGACCTGCATCTCTCGCTCCTGGAACCAATGTTTGGTTCTGGGACATGGGCGATTCCGACAAATACACCTTCACTGGCTGATATAAGCTTATACTACCAATTACGGTGGGGCATTGATATTGCCGCTGGAAGAGGGATATCCAATCTCAGTGGCGGAGAAACCCATGATACGCAGGAGGATGTTATGGGTCAAGTGTTCAGCCAGGAAAGATATCCAGGGCTTTGGAGATGGTTTCATGCGTTTGAGGCATACATGGACGCTATTCCTGATCTGCAGACCACAGTACCAGAGTCTGATACGAGATGGAAAGACGCACTGCGCCGTACGCCGCTCTTGAGTGACAACGACTTGCTAGTCCCAACCGCCGTCGGCCAGCATCGACCGCTTGATGTCCGAGGGGGTCTATTACCAGGCGTGAGCGTAAAGATTGCACCGGATGACACTGGTCGCAATAATCCGACGAGCGGTACATTGGTAAAGATGGGCGTTGAGGAAGTAGTGATTATGCCAAATGGGAAAGCCGAGTTGGATGTCAGGGTTCATTTTCCGAGGCTTGGATTCCTTATCAAAGTTGTGGAGGGAAGTAAATTGTAATCTTAAAGTAGTGTTAGCATCCTAAAACAAGTCATACGATGTGCATGTCAGAATCGTCAAATCCAGTCGTATTCAGTCCAACGCCATGCTGATGCTGAGAATCGTGCCATATATAATACAGTCTTGGTATACACCCCCTCTTCCTACTTGACTTCCTTTTCCAATAATTCTTTCGCTTCGTTTACTTTGGTCGCTAGGTATGGGCTGCCGCCTCGATCGGGGTGGTTTAGAAGCATGAGCGATCGATGCTTCTTTCGTAGGAGTTCTTTCGTAATGCCTCGTTCCCTAACAGCGTTAGTAGAATTCCCGGGTCCAGATCTGACCGCAGACGTACGGCATCTCGAGTATCAAAGCAGCCTCTCTCCGTGTCATCTTGGGCTCAAAACCGCCCTTGTAGTATCCTCGCCCCAAGGCCGCGCCACCGCCCGATCTCCGAAGTGCCACAAGTGCTGCGCGACCCTTTGTTGTGTTAGCATATCTGACATGATTCTCCGTCCCAGCATCATCCGTATCAAGCCGTTTTGACGTTCAATGAATCGGGGTCCATACGAAGAAAGCCGTAGCACCCGCGCCTAAAATCCACACCCAGGCAGACATGGTTTCTCTCCTGCGCTTGTTGTTTCTGACACAAGATTCGGCAATGTAAACGTTGGACCGAGTACCGCTACCGTCGACTAGGTGGAGATGCGCAGAGTGAGGGCGGCAACGTGGGAAGGAATTTGCGGAGGTGTCTCGGTCGACATGGGATGCAATTGGCGGATAGGAAAGGGAAGTGGGCTGATGCACGGGCCAACCAAAATTTCTGGCCGGCGAACTTCGAGACCACCTTCACGCTTCAACATCACCACCTCCACCACCAATCGCAAGCGTGCGCCGACAAGATGAGAATCGAAACGTGTATGTAGTCTTCGAATAGCGCATATAACAATGCTAACAAACGATAATAGGCTACTTTTGTTCGAGCCCAGTGGTAAAGAGCCTTGTAATCTACACCTATCAAAGCCTAACAAAACCAGTACCCGTCCAAGGGCATCACGTTTGTTCGAAATGACGCAAAGGCTTTCCGTTTCTGCAAGTCAAAATGCCACAAGAACTTCAAGATGAAGCGCAACGTAAGGCGCATGTCCTAATACGAGACGTATACTGACCCTGCTAGCCCCGCAAACTGGCATGGACTAAGAGCTTCCGTCGCGCGCACGGCAAGGAAATGACTGTCGATTCTACCCTCACCTTTGCCCAGCGCCGCAACGTCCCTGTGCGATACAACCGCGACCTCGTCCAGACTACTCTGAAGGCAATGACCAGGGTGACGGAAATTAGGGCACGGAGAGAGCGCGCATTCTACAAGGCCCGTATGCGTGGCAACAAGCAGAGACAGCGTGAGGAGGATAGGAAGCTGGTTGAGGAGAATCAGCATCTGCTGCCACCGAGTGAGAGGTTCTCCAAGGAAGAGCTGGAGGAGAAGGAGGATATGGAGGTCGACGTACAGAAGGTCAAGGCAAAGGTCGCAGCAAGGAGGAAGGAACTTGAAGCCGAGGAGAGCGACTTGGAGAGCGAGATTGAGGAGGTGACGCCGAAGATGAAGAGCAAGAGGAAGCTGAAGATGAAGGTTGGTGGCGGTGTCGAGGCCATGGATGTGGATGAATAGAGCGCAGGCTCGGGAACGATATTCGAAAATAACCGGTTCTTCTCAAGGAAACACGGTGCTGGAGTCTGGCGTCTTATTACGGTATAGCAGTCGACTTTGATACCACGTAAAAGCATGCTTTCATCGCACAACCACTTCTACCAATCACCTTGACCGCAGGCGCGTTCTGACGAGTGGAATTACCATTCACTATTAACTTGGTTACACGCGATATAAATCTAAACAGGGTGATGATAACCATCATCTACAGACGTCTTATCTCGATGCGTGTTTCGACCGTAGGTGGCTGATGTACCGGTCGTAATGTAGTTACTGGTTCCAGCTCGATATCTTCATGCCCTTGTTCTACATCTGTAAGATTCGCCGTCGAATTGCCCCTTTCCCCGACCCGATGAAGGCGACCTGAAAAGCCCGAACTCTTTGAGTGTTTGGAAGTTCCAGTACGTTCGCTACTCTCTTTTGCGCTCCATTTGGATCCAAAGGCGGGGATCATGCGAACGACTAGGGGCTTGAGTGCCGGGGCACAAGCACATGAAATGGCCAGGTTCATCTCGATAGCAGCCCAATAGATTGGAGGGGCGCTATGGTACATGGCGTCGCTGGGATTGTGGGCGAGAACGACCATGGAATGGATTCGAACGACTGAGACAATGCATACGCTGATGATTGTCAGTCGAGAACGCCTGTGTACAAGGGTACTTACATCCAGGCAAGCGACAAGATGACGATCAAAACAATCTTCTGCCTTCGCACGATTTGCAGTTTGTAGATGCGTCGCACCGGTAGAACAGCAAGCATGAGATCGGTGACGGTGTTTATGGTGCTATTAGCATATCGTACTCTGGTCACGTTAGTCAGGTCTTGTTGTTTGCGTCAAAACCTACTTGGGTTCATCCAGGCAGTGGGCAGTTGGTTTCTTCATTACATTCCAAAAAGCATCGACAGGGATGCAGACAAGGGCAAGAGTCAGAAACGCGATAATGCCAGTCACGATACACAGGCCCAAGACGATGTAGTTGACGGTCTGGACTTCCCCGACGAAAAAGATGCGTCGGTACTGCGCCAAGATGGAGATCTTTGTGAGTAAAAGGCCAACACAATAGGTCAAGATGGACCAGTAAAGGTACTGTTACGTTAGCAATTTGCCACGAGATGAACAAGGCCGACCTACTCTCAGACTGTGGATGGTCGAGGGAAGATCGACCAGTGCCTGGTGTTTTCCAGCACCCCATTGCACCTGCTTGACCTGCATTGCCGCCGTGACAAGTGAAAAGGCCTGCTGAGTTAATTTTGCACTCCAGGTAAGCCTCTTACGTCTTACCATTGCCAACGCCATGAGGTAATCCTCCGAGCCCACCTGCCGTACGTACTTGATACGCGCGAAGAAGCGCAGCGAGACGCATACAAATGCCAGTATCGTGAAGCTTAGGACAAGGCCAATGGTCGTTGGTCCCCGGTCATCTTTTGCCAAGGCAGCGAGTACCTCTGGCGATATCTGAGGAGGCGATTGGCTCATCGAGAGGTGTCGAGAGATGTAGCAGGTCAAACGAGGCTGTCAAACTCAGTGAATGCGACAGGATCCACAGCACACTGCTATATACATCATCTCACGCCTCGATGCGCTCTGAAACACGGCCCTCCACATACCTAGATTTTGGCGGAGCCTTTAGGGCTGGACGCCGAAAGGATGCACAAAGTTAAGGCCAACGGGTTTGCATGACTAGAACAGGGTAGCTCCGTACGGTTGTGCCGAGAATGTTGTGGATAAAAGTCAGGGTCAAGATGGGAGGGAAGCGTCACCGTTTAGCCCGTACCAAACTACCTTGACGATGAACAAGCATTCGCGTCGCTGATCAAGTTCTTGGGTGCGATTTGTGGACTTCAGGGTCAAGCCCGATGCCAATGTGAGGATGCCGGTGGAAAATCTTATGGGGTGTATTACTCAAGCGGTTTGTACCGTAGCCCGATCAATGCCCAATGCTAGAGCCTGATATACTCCGTGCTACTATCTGATTGCAGCATAGCACGCGCGAGGCGCCGGTGCAGGTTACAGATAGACGCACCACGGCACTTCTTGCATAGCCGTACATGGACTTCTAGAAACGAAGTGGAAATGAGTGACACCAACAGGGTTCTCCGCTGATGATTGAAGCGGCACACGTGGCTATGCCGAGCAACTCCTAGCGTTGGATAAAGTTTGGACTGATTGTCGATGACATTCTTTCGAGACGTTGGCTCATTCTTCGATTCGGCCTTGTCGCGATACACATCGTTTGGCTTCTGATGAAGCTCCACCATGACTTATCTGGATGATTCCGGAGAATTATACAGGGGTAGTGGACAGGAGAAAGCGACATGGAGAATCGTGTTGTGGCAGTTCGAAGACCGGGCCTGCCGTAGAAACCCCGAAAACCCGGTTTGCGCTAACGAAGCACAGACTGTCCCCTAGCAGAATACATGGGCATTTTTCGTCTTGAACGAGTGGCCAAAGAACTGTTTGGAGACTTCAGTAAGTCAAGTGTGTAGCTATACCAGTGCAAGAACCTGGCTATAGTCATACGATATGATGAGGCGTGTCTCTGGAGTTGATGTGTCAAATTCACGGTACTTTACTAGGTATGCAGCAGAAACCCCCGTTACAATTTATGATTAGGATCGGCGCTCGCGATAATCCAAGCACCTTGGTACCCAAGTTCTTAGCGACGCCCATATCAAATACAAGTATTGTATGGTCCCTATCTCGGTCCTTAGCAGACGATACGTCTAATAACCGTCTCGAATCAATAGCCCAAGGCGACAGTGCCAGCTACCATAGCCCCCACAATAACCTACTCGCGAAATGTCGTCTGGATCGGGTCCTAGGATCGGAATAGGATCTCGCGTTCGAAGATGGATGCGGTGAAATATCCTGTCAGACCTGTAACGACATTGTCAGAGCATCAACGCAAGTCAAATTCCCGTTCTAAATCCGTAGATGCCGCGATAACGTGCCGTGAAGCTTGTCAAAGACGCATCATCATCCTCGGTAATGATGTCGACCTTTGGCTTCATACGAGAGATCAACCAACGGCATACCCTGTCATGACCTGGTTCAACACAGCTGAGATGTCATCGTCCTGGTAGAGTTGGCTTTTCCAGCCAAATAGCCCAAATTCCTCCTCAGCACTAACCTGGATAGATTGCTCACCTTGACCACTGACAATCGTTTGCGAGCTGTTTGCTAGCACCGGGCGCTCTCGCAGCGATTTGATGAGCGCCTTTCTGTAAGTTGATACTGTCTCGGGGCGCCTCAACAACAAATTTTTATGCTGATTTTACACTGAATCCTGGCTATAACCGAACTTTGTCGGACTTTGTGCCGAAAGGGGATGATGATGGTCGAATTTGCGGGAACCCGGGCTTTTACAAGCTCCGAGGGCCACTGGCAAGATAGGGCCCTGGACTTGGATAGTAGTGTTCAACGTCGCAAGAGTGACCCTTATCTTTCATTTTTTTTCAAGACGCCTCCAAGTTTCATATGACATGACAACGTCTTCGACGCGTCGGTCGTTTTGTACAAGGAGCTTCCAGCAGTTCCCAGCAGTAGATCATGCCAAGAGGTAAGCACATCGGGAGGATCCCCCCGGCAGTGTCCAGCTCTTGTATCGTGGTACTCTACTTTTGCATGTATCGTTGTCTAGCGATCTGTAGGCGATTCTTGGTCTTTGATCCGATCAAGTAACATGGGTGTCCATCTTCCTTTTTCCTTTCTGGCCATCTGAGGTTATTCGTTTCATCGCTCATTTCCGGCATTCTCAAATCGGCCCCGTAACTCAGCTTGAAACAAGTGCGATTAGACGCATCCAAGCGGAAGATATGGGAATGATATGGCGAGTGAAAGGTTGCGGCGTCGTGTCTTCTCGCGCTAAACCAGAAATAGTTAGGCCCGTTAGCGTTGCCGAAAGGGGTTACGCAATCCTCCAGATCGCTCATCTTCTCCACTTGGCGTCTCCATCGAAGCAGACAATACGAGGTGTTCGGAGACGGGTCCGATCATGATCACGCATTGACAACAATCCGTCTTTGTTACGGGAGCCACATCCTTGGATCGCGATACTTTTTGCTGCTGACCCCCACCTCAGAAGTACGGGAAGGAGCTGAATCAAACACATCAACCAAATACTGCCGTAGTCAGTTCGGTCTCGGCTGATCAAAGACGAGCTCGGAAAAATACAGGAGCCCTTGTCGAATTCAAAGAGTGGCAAACACATTTGAGCTGATTATGCAGCCATGCTAGGAAAATCATCTGGCTAGCATCTGACAATTTGATGAGCGTGTGAGTTCGCATCGTGCATGTCACTCACAAGCCAGAAACGCCGAAGAACGACCTCGCCTAGACGTCTGAAACCTGCCACTATTCCCGTCACGAAAGGTGTATACATCACGTGGAAATACCCGACCTGTGTTCCCACGTACAACTTAAAGAGATGGACAGAAAACATGGCCACGCGTTTCCCAAGCATGATCGTTGAACTGCTTGTGATGTTCAGACCTACGCTGCGCGATTTGCGGTGAGATGCGAATGATGTTGTCGTCTGACTTGCGACAACGAATGCGGTATGGCTGGCTGCGAGAAAGCGGGTCTACGGGCAATTCTCCCCGCTGGTTTACGGTACCACGTGACTGGATTCGCGTTCTTAACATTGTGTTTTTACTTGCTTCAGTATACCATACAAGATGTCGTATCAAGCGAGACCCGAGCATGACGAGGATATACCAAAAGAAGGCGTTTGGCGATCGGTGTGGATCAACAACAAAGGAGCATGTCTGATACTGTTGGCCGAGGTTGCTGGGACTTCGAGTGATGCCATATCACGATACCTGCAGCAAGGCGATACCAAGATTCATCCGCTCCAGGTAGGATGATCCGGATTCCAACCTACCACCCACTGACTTGCCAGGTCATCTTTGCACGGATGGGAATCACCTTCATCCTAAGCAACCTGTACATGTGGTGGACGAATGTTCCCCACTTTCCGCTGGGTCGTCGAAATATACGGGGCTGGCTGTTACTTCGTGCTTTCTTTGGGTTCGGTGGACTATACTGCTTATATTGTGAGTACTTTCAACCCAATTATTGCCGCTACTCACACGTACTAGACTCGATACACTACCTTCCACTCGCAGAAGCCGTGGTATTACGTTTTCTAGTTCCCATCGTCACTGCATCGGCGTGCTCTGTCTTTCTTGGCCAAGCCTTTACACGCAAAGAGTTCATAGCGGGAGTTGTGGCCTTTACAGGAGTAGTCATCATCGCACACCCACCATGGATATTCGGCAAAGTTGATGACGATCTCCTTCCCAAGGAACCCACGGGCATTGACAAGGTCACGCCCGCACAACGTTTCATTGCAATCCTGGTCTCCTTGCTGGGGGTCTTGGGCGCGTCTGGGGCATACACAACGATCCGTGTCATCGGTCATCAGGCGCACGCACTCGTGTCTGTCAACTACTTTGCATTTGTCGCAACCACGGGTTCAGCGATTGCGCTCTTGTTGGTTCCTGGTATTGGCTTCCACAAACCACACTCAGCACATGAATGGATCTTGCACATTGGAGTGGGTGTTTGTGGGTTTGCATTGCAGTTTCTCATGACCGCGGGCCTTCAACTTGACAGGACTAGCAAGGCGACGAGCATGTTGTATTTCCAGATTATCATCGCACTTGCTTTCGACTGGGGTATTTGGGGCGTCATTCCCGGGGCATGGAGCATGTTTGGCGGTGCCATTGTCGTGGGCAGTACGCTGTGGAGCGCGTTGCAGAAGCCACAAGCAAAGCCTGAGAAGAAGAAAGAACCAGATGAAGAGAGTGCGTTGCTTGGCGATGAGAGAAGATAGCCCAGTGCTTGTAAGGAGCGACGGTTGCTGGGGTCAATATTTGCATTGTCATATCCCTCACTACAATGTGCACATTCATTACCTACTCATCTCTAGTTTCTCCATGAATGCCGCCTCCACCGCCGCGAGATGTTCGCGCTCCGCCGTTATGCTTGCCATGAGATAGATGACGTTGCCCAGGATTCGAGAGTGTATCTGAACCTGCGATTCCGAAACGTCGTGGAGAAGTGCATCGCGGAGACCTACTGCGGCTGATGAAGTATAACCTAGGTTTATTAGTATAGATGAGAACAAGGAAGATCGACCTACCAGAACCACCCTCGGAAACAAGCGACACGGAAAGAACAGACCCCAGAACATTGACGTGATCGACCCGCTGGTGTTTCGACAAGCTGTCCACAAAGGTCTTTGACCACATGCTCCAAAGGTTGAGCCTGCTGAAATCCTTCCTGGAGGTCCACTGTCCCCTGAAGTGCTTCCATTCCTTACTATTCTTCACACATGACATGATGTACAGGCTAGTATTTGCGACATGGCAGCCCACCGCATGAGCAGTATAGCTGTGTCCATGCAAGAGACCTTCTGACTTCTCATCGCCCCAGAAAGCCTCGAAGATTGAATTGCTTGCCGAAGTGATGGAAAGTGGGAGAAGACCGCCAGTGAGGAGCTTGGCGTTTACGCTGATATCGGGATGTACGTCGAGGAAGGAAGCGGCGGAGAAGCGACCTAGACGATACAGGCCTGTGAATACTTCATCAAATACAACGGGGAGACCAGTCCAGGCCAGCTCGTCGTCAGGCGGGGTCGAATTCGTCTCGAATGTATATCGACGTACGACACGCACTAGACTTTGCTGGAAGAGAGGATCCACAAACATCATGCCGCCGGCTCCTAGAATAACAGGCTCCATGATCAGTGCACCAAACTTCCTGCCCTGCTTCTTCACCAGCTCATCCAATGTTTTCTCGATATACGCCTCATAACGCTCTGAACGTCCTCTCACTGCAAAATCAAAGATTTCGTTTTGGCTGTCAAAGTGTTGTGTCGGACCAAATTCCTCTTCCATGCCTTTGGGCGCTTCAATCATCCACTGTCCGTTTTTGAGTTTGAAAGTCGGGTAGTCGAACCAGAAGCCCCTCCCACGATACCAGTCGACCTTTTCGTTGTACACACATGGCTCAGAAGCATCCATAGCCCCGATTGTGTCTCCATGGTAGCTGCCTTTGAGGCCGAGAACGCCGACGGGCTCCTCTGCGCTATCCCGGCCATACCGCTTGCTGGCTGCTCGGAGTGCCATTTTGATACCCACCTCGGTCGCTGTACTTCCGTTATCCGTGTAGAAGACCTTTGTTAGTCGGGGATTCTGGGCGCCTTTCAACATCTTTTCTGCGAGAGAAAGCGCTGGTTCGTGTGTTGCACCAGCAAACATGACGTGGCCATATCTCCCTGCTGCATATGCTGCCTCTAGTGCGAGTCGCGGATTACCGTGGCCAAGTCCTTGGGTCCACCACGATGCGGAGCCGTCGAATGCAGGATACAAGAGTGAATCGCCGCTCTCCTTGGTTTGTTTGACCTGAAAGTAGTCACCGTACGCAGAGTCAAAGACCAGGATGTCTTCTGCGTTCTTTACGTGCTTGTGCTGGGTGAATGGATGCCAAATTGCTTTGTGAGTGCGCGACGCCATGGTATCAAGGTTGGCGAGCCGTCCATTGTGACTTTTGATGAGCTGTTCGGCTACAAGACCGACCTGACTCCCCTGGCTCTGCGAGTCGTAGTACCCTTGCATCGTCTCCGTCTCCTTCTTCGTCCCGGCCCCAATTCCATCAAGATTCGGTATCCAGGGTAGCGTAAAGGCGGATATGCCCAGGTCCTTGAAGTACTTTTGCAGGTACTCGGCATTTTGGTACTTGTTCTTGTCATCAAAGCACACCACTGCGTCAATGTCGTATCCTCGCATGATCAGCGACTCGGCAGCTGAGATGGTTGATGAAATTCCACCCAGCCGATGGTCTCCAACGAGTACTGATGGAAGTCTCAACGGCCGAAGAATATCCGCCTGTGGGGTACCCGAAGGCCCTGGGCTGAGCACTCCACCAGCCGTCTCGACAATGGCAAGGCCCATGGTATCCGGTTTCATTACTACCACATTCTGCTGGACAGTCTTGAAGACAGTCTGGCTGATGAGCTCATCGCTAGGCTTGGTTCGTCAACACTATTCTATCACCATATCGAGCAACATACGAGACATTTGGACCCTCGTGCCGCTACATGCGGGCTCACAGCTTTGTCAAATTTAAACAGCGTGGAAACAGACTGTCCGCTGTACTTTTGCACATAACTATAACTGTCAGTCACCGATATCACAACCGTCTCCAACTCACCAATCATCTGCTTCATCCGCTGGGCCTGTCGACACCGGCTTGATATAGTGCACACTCCATTTCGGCTTCCTGCCAAAGTGGGCACCTAGCAGCGTCGAAAAGACAGTTTTTCCAACCCCAGTATTTGCACCATAAACCTGCACCGCAACCAGCTTCTTCCACAAACCTCCTGGAACCCTGGCCATGTTGTTCGAATGTGTTGAGTCGATGCGCGTTGGGGTAGGTGGCTAGCCAATGCAAAAGCGCGCTAGTGCGGCTAAGTATGCAGCTCTAATGAATGACTCAATGCCACCGATGGCTGCATATCGGACGGCACAGACAGTTTATACATTTTGTTAGCTAATAGATGACGAACACAGGCCATGCGTTGACAACCGAGCTGACAGGGAAGTCGCGGCAACCGTCCTGTTGATACTCAGGTACCGTCACCCCGTCTCTACACACAAGTATGGGACATGCAGGGTTGGAAAGTCGACTGCGCGACCTACTTGATCGACGACAAGTAAATTCGACGCTGCGCAATCTGACCCTTCCCAAATCCAATCAAGTCGACTTTTCGTCCAACGATTTTCTTTCCTTGTCAACTTCACCCCAACTCAAATCCCTGTTTCTTGAAGAGCTCCAAAAGGATCTACCCCTCGGCTCCGGTGGATCTCGGCTACTGGATGGAAATTCGAATTATGCCGAGGAACTAGAGCGCGACATTGCTGCTTTTCACGGTGCCGAAGCAGGACTGTTATTCAATTCGGGTTTCGATGCCAATGCCGGGTTCTTTGCGTGTGTCCCGCAGCCAGGCGATGTAATTGTGTACGATGAGCTTGTACATGCAAGTGTGCATGATGGGATGAGGTTGTCGCGTGCAGGGGACAGGTTGTCTTTTAAGCATAATTCCGTGTCCTCGTTGAGGGGCATTCTCACACGGCTGCGAGACGGAAAGAGCAGTGTTTTTGTGACTGTGGAGTCAATCTATAGCATGGACGGCGACGTGTGTCCGTTGAGAGATGTCGTGGACGTGGTTGAAGAGGTCTTGGGTCTGCGAGGTTATGTCGTTGTGGACGAGGCGCATTCGACGGGTGTTTTGGGACTAAATGGACGCGGTCTGGTTTGCGAGCTTGGTCTTGAGCATCGCATCTTCGCCCGGCTGCATACCTTTGGAAAGGCGATAGCAGCGAATGGTGGTAAGTCAACAGCAAGTCGTGTTGACAGTGATTGACATGTGCAGCGATACTCCTAGGCTCCTCCATCCTACGACACTACCTGATCAACTACGCAAGACCGCTCATATACACCACATTTCTATCCTATCCCTCACTCGCACTTATTCGCTCCTCTTACACGCTTTTGAAATCCGGACAGAGCGTTCCGCTACAGGCACAACTTCATCAACTCACCCAAACCCTGTACACCCATCTCAATGGCCTTCAGGAAGTATCCAATGCAGCCCGTCAGACATTACGTATTCCAAGCGCATGTCCACAGTCACCCATATTCGCGGTGCAATTGGAAAAGCCAAAAGCGCTAGCGATATTCCTACAGAGCCGCGGTATGATGGTGAGGGCTGTTGTGACGCCGACAGTACCGGCGGGCACTGATCGAATCAGGATATGCCTACACTCTGGGAATACCGTGGCAGAGGTCGAGAAGCTCGTAGAAGCGCTTGGAGCATGGTGCGAGAACCACACTCTAGAGACACCCAGAGCCAGACTCTAGCCAGCAGCCACATGTAGCCAATTATCAATTGTATTACGCTACAATATGCTCAAACGCAAGCTACGACTGTACAAGCAGGCGGTGATGCGGCTTGTATAAGCTGACGCAGGGGAGTGGGGCGTGCCTCTGAATCAGTGGCATGGATGGGCAACTAGAGGGGCGATCTCATCTCCTAAGCCCGAATCCTAAGCCCGAAACAACGTCGCCGTGCCGCCGAGGCTAGCCATAGACATACCGGCCTCGGTGATGTCGAGTGGGTTTATTCTGTTGAGCGTTATATAATGTAAAGATGCAACCCCGCGCTTGATCAGCTTGGCCGTCATTGGTCGAACCCCACGTAGTGTCTTGCGTGTCTGAGACATTCGAATGGCGATGATTCTGTCCTCTACCTTTGCCATGTCTCACAGAGTGCTGGTTCGTACGGGTCGTGGGTTGTCCTTCACTCCCCGCTCCCGGCAGATCTCCCGTTCATTTAGCACCGTCCTTGACACGCCTGTCGATCCCGGAACCCAGCAACTCCGCAAGACGTCTGTATTCGAAAAGGCACTCAATGCAAATGCCCCCCGAACGACGTGGACAAAGGAGGAGATTACCGAAGTCTACAATACGTCGCTGATTGACCTCACCCATGCAGCGGTATGTTTGGCATCAGCTGTTCAAGACCCCCCTGACTCTCTAGGCCACGGTGCATCGGCGGTTCCATGACCCCGCTGCCATCCAAATGTGCACGCTCTTCAACATCAAGACTGGAGGCTGTAGCGAAGACTGCTCCTACTGTGCGCAATCGTCTCGCTACGACACGGGCTTGAAGGCGACGAAGCTGAGCTCGGTGGATTCCGTCTTGGAAGCGGCCCGCATCGCCAAGGAGAATGGGAGCTCGCGCTTCTGCATGGGCGCGGCGTGGAGAGACATGCGAGGCAGAAAGACCAACCTCAAGAACATCAAGGAGATGATCAAGGGCGTGCGGGGCATGGGCATGGAGGCGTGCGTGACGCTGGGCATGGTTGATGCTGCACAAGCAAAGGAGCTCAAGGAGGCCGGTCTGACTGCGTACAACCACAACGTCGATACCAGTCGCGAGCACTATCTGACGGTCATCACCACGCGTTCCTACGATGAACGGCTCAACACCATCAAGAACGTCCAGGAGGCGGGTATCCATGTGTGTACTGGCGGCATCCTCGGGCTGGGCGAAAAGGCTCGCGACCACGTCGGTCTCATCCACACGGTAGCCACGTTGCCAGCCCATCCCGAATCTTTCCCCGTCAACGCTCTTGTGCCAATCAAGGGCACTCCGTTGGGAGAGACACAGGCCATCTCCTTTGACGCCATCCTACGCACGATTGCCACAGCGCGCCTTGTCATGCCCGCGACCATCATCAGGCTCGCGGCCGGCCGTCACACAATGCGTGAGGAGAAGCAGATTCTGTGCTTCCAGGCCGGCGCCAATGCCGTCTTTACCGGTGAAAAGATGTTGACGACGGCTTGCAATGGTTGGGAGGAGGACAAGGCCATGTTCAACCGGTGGGGTCTAAGACCCATGAAGATGGAGGAGACGATTGGCGAGAAGCGCATGCCCGGCCAGGACGAAGCCGAGGCTGTCGTTGCCGCTGCTGAGGCCGAAGCGACGGTGCAGGTCTTGGGTTAGTCAGTCTCAGAGATCTGTGACGCTGGTCTAGAACATGGAAGGATGACAACCTTGACCAGGGTGCTAGCGCCCGCCAATGACGTAGCTTCTACCAAGACGTGAAATACAGACATGACAGACATGATGAACTTGTTGACTTACCATCTACCTCAACATGTTTTCTCCGTCCATTTACACAATTGGCATATTTCAGCTGGGGCTTACATCAGCCCTCAGCGCATATGGCTTGTATCTCTCCTACCAGAACATAACGCGGCTGCAGCAGTACGAGGAAAGGAGCGAAAAGGCGGCGGAATGGTCAAACACAGCAGCGGAGAGGTTGCACAAGACGCGAACGACGCAGACGAGCGGCACCGTGACGGTAGGATGTCTGTCGATAATAGTGATGTAGCTAACGCATCAATCTATAGCTACTCGTTAGCTTCGTAACCTCAACCGCTCTTCTGCTCGTCCCCCGCTTCGCATCCCCCAGCGTACTGATTGCTACTGGTGTTGCAAACGGCATGGCTTTGTACCTGTCCCGCACACACATGGCCAATTTCTGGAACGACAACACTCAAACACGCGTCCCGTTTGTGGAAAAGTTCAACGAGGCGATACGGGGAAGCAAACAGGTCGTATTGTTGCTCGGTACTTTGTGTTTGGCGTGGGGAGCCGCAGGAGGTATATGGGCGGGCATGGCGAATGGAGGGTCGGGTATGCTAGGACTGGCGGTTTGGGGGTTGGTCGTCGGAGGGAGGGTTGCTTCTATTGCGCCGAAAATGGGGTGGACGTGATGGCGATTAAACTACGACTTGTAATCCTGTACATCCTGCATCGCTTGCATTTCCTGTACCACACGTACACTGTCTGCCTCCTTGACCCACTCTTCAATCCGGGCTCCGACGTCCCCGACAAGCCGCTCGTATGTTTCATTGACAAAGAACAACGACGTATGTGCCGTGACCTCGTCCATGTTCTCCATAAACACTCTGATCCATGTGGGGTCTTTGTTTCCGTCGGCGTCTTTTGGCGGCAACATGCAAAACTTCCTCAGCTTCTTCGGCTTTACCTCGCCCTCGTTGGTATCAGCTTTAAGCTGACTATACCGGCTGTCCGTTGTGGAGAGTGTATAGGAAGATTCAGCGCGTTCATTTGGCGGGGGCTGGTTCATGATTCCACTGCGAGAGAATTCGTAGTTGGCGTAGGGGCTTCGAGAGTCGTGGGTCGGCTCAGAGTCTCCCAGTTCCATGGCACCCACATCCTCTTCAAGCTCGACAATCACAGAAGGTGGCTCAGGCTTGTCTTCTGCAGGTATTTTGCCGTCTCGCAAGTCTGCCTCTCGCTGTCTCTGTCGTGCTTCCGCCTCCCGTTGCTCTGCTTCTGTCTGTCGCTGTTCCCTCTCCCTCTGCCTTTGCTTCTCCTCCGCGGACATGTGCTTTTCTTTTTCCTGGGTCTCTTTCTCCTTTCGTTCCTTTTCGACCTGCTCCTGTCGCTTCTTCTCTTCATTTTCTCTTTGCTTTTTATCTTTTTCAACCTGCTCCAGTCTCTTCTTTTCTCCCTTCTCCCGCTCTTTCCTCTCCTTTGCCTTGTCCTTTTCCCACCTCTCTTGCATTTTTGTCCGCTCGTTGATGGTCTTGTTGCGCATCTTGACGGCCTTTTGGTACTCCTTTAGGGCTTGGTCGTGTTCCTTCTCAGCAGCTTTCCGCGAGGCCTTGTCCGGAAACTGCATCAGATCTACAAATGGTGGTTCCTGGGGGATGGGTGGAATTTCGGGAAGATTAGTAGGGCCATCCTCACAGGGTGCAGAGGGGATTTCTGGACTGCTTGGCATACCGTGATCCTGCTCGGCCTCGATAGATGCACGTGGTGTATCGGCTATGGGGTCGGGATTTATGTGAGTCAGCTCTGGCTCTGGTGAGACCGTCGAATCGCTCCTTGCATGTTCGAGGAAATATCCCTCTCCAACGCTGGCATCGCCGCCTTGATGTTGTAGTCGCAAACTGGCAGAGCACTTGGGCGATGTTGGGGTGGGAGATTTTGGAGACTTTGGCTTTTTATGCCTCCCGGTACTCGCAGTATAATAATTAACAAAGCGTATCCGGGGTACTGTGGGCATCCGGGGATGAGCGGCCTTTCTCTTACTTTCATCATCTTCCTCTAGCGCTCGCACCTTTACATACCGATCCTTGAGTTCTTTGTAATCGGCCATGGCACCACCAAACTCTAGATGCGACTTGACAAGACCCTTTGTAGCTTCCTTTAGACCGTCTTTGTAATGTTTAGTAAGCCAATGCACGCTGTTCTCCCATCCTTTGCGGTTCGGTAGACGAACGTCGTTGGGGAAAGCCGGATTGTAATTAGGATCTGCTGGCTTGGGATTGAAGATGGTACTCATTCTGCTAGGTCTTTGCCCTGCATCCTCAATGATGGCATCGTGTGGTGGCGGCGGCGGGGAGCTGAAGATGCTCCCCAGTCCAGCCTTGATGATGCCAGGATGCATACCCAGAAACGGGACATCGAAGTTGACGACACCAATAATACGATGGCGAAAGACGAGCGCAATATCTCCAGCAAGCAGTCCGCCCATGGAGTGGCCAAGCAAGATGATGTCGGTCCATTGGTCTTCATGTGGGGCTAGCCTAGTAGTGTGAGCTTGAGCTATCCAACCTCTCAAACGTCATACCATCGCGAGAAATTATCCCTTGCAATCTCGAGCGAGTCCCTCGACTTGTACCTGGGATAGATTTTGGTATGTACTACGTGAGTTTCGGCAAGCGTAATCGTCACGAGATTATGGACGTGCGCCGGGAAGCTTCTGAAACTTGTTTCGTTTCCCATGAAGCCATGGATATAGACGAGGAGTAAACGACGTCGCCCAGATTCTTCTAGTGTAGGGTCTGGGACGAGCGACTGCGTAGAAGAGGATCGCGGATCTTGCGACTGCATGGCCATTGGAGAATATGGCGGCGGCTCACTCGAAGACTCCCGGGGTGGGAGAGGTGGTGGTCGTTGTTTCTCAGACGACGTCATTGTTGGAGGAGTGATTGCGACATGTAAGATAACAACAGTTGATGTAGTTAGCTTAGAGCTATCGAAGCCTTTGACGTTCGATTCGCGTAGAGGGGTAATGTGGGGTAGCGCGGGCAACAGCACAGCCTCGTCAAAGTCGGCATAACACTACCTATCATCTTGAAGCAATTGCGATGCACAGTCTATTCAGCTGCGTAGCTCCAAGGACAAAAGGTGAACAACTCACCCTCAACCTCTACCATGACAGCGGAGAAAATATTGCCATGTTCATGCAGTTGCAATCACGCCGGTACATGCCGTCGTATCGAACTCTAAAATTATACTGCATGACTCTGTTATGCTGAGTCGTACACAGGGTCATAGGCTGCGTGGGACTATTCAAGGCGTGATATATGTGTGGTGTTATAAAAGCTCAATTAAGCACACGAAGCACGTCGGACATCAGCGCCGGTTGAGGGTGCGACAAGTCCAGGAAGGCCTGGATGGCTCTGTTTGTTGTGGCGGAACAGCCAGGGGCGGCAGGGTAAACATGCTAGCAACTGGGGCGTTCCAAAGACGCGCTCGTGATGGTAACAACAAAGTGTATAGGCCGACCCTGTCTTTGCAATGGCACTAGATATGCTTGGCAATACGCTTGAGCAGGACGGCAGATTGCACAGTCGTGACGTTGGGTGCGACGACAGCACGACGGCAGCTAAGAATAACAGACTTTGCAGCGCGGGCCATGGACCTGCATACCAGCGTTCCAGAATGCGGTTCCTGAGAGACGGAGGCGTGATAGTGTGGACGCCACTGCAGGTGCGGCGGGAAAGCCGACTAGCCAGGCCGCGTGCCATGGTAGAGTGAATTCTCCGTAGTCGATGTTCGACAACTGCACCTGAACATGGAGACACTGGATGCAGTAAATGCGTGGGGAAATTGGCCGTCGTCATGAGCGGCGCAAATTGTCGTAGGCGAGAGAGAGAGTGAGCGGTTGTCACCATCTCGTGCGTCGGTGGATCCTTCTATTCTCGGACACGTTATCTCGCTTGCAGGCCAATCATCCCCCGTTCACGGCCGGCAGACCCCAAACCGTTTCTCTGCTTCTGGTCAGGTCGGTGTCAGTGTCTCGCTCCTCTGTAGCGTGCTGCTCCAGCGCTCCTTCTCTTCTACCACGACTCCCGCTGCGACGTCGACAATTCACGGACCAGCGCTACCGGCAGTGGGGAGCCTCAGGACGAAAGCGATACCGCTACCACCGCACCCTCACGCCGCCGTCGCGCGACATTTGCTCCACGTCTGGTCCTACCCCGTTGCAACATCGCAGACAATCACACCCACGCTAGGACAGCGAATTGCGACCGACATTCCCCATAACACCCGCCTGTCCGACCAAACGCGAGCCCTTTGCGAGCAGATGCTGCCCTTTTGACCATCTCCACGTGAGTATTCACGACATCTCGTCATGCTGATTGCTGATCGTTGCCCGTTAGACATCTCGCTGCCAGCCGTCTGGCGTCCATTCTTTTCTCCACATTCGCTCCTCGCACTCTGTGCCTACTCGACTGACTCCATTGACTGGACCATTGCCAAGGCTGAAGCCTGAACGTCCGCTCATTTCAAGACGATACTGACAACCAACTTGCTGCTCGTCGCCACATGTTCTGCCAACACCTACACGACACTTGCAATTCGCCACTGATCCTCTGAGAGCATCTCCGCTAGGCCTATGGACTACGCCGCACCAGCCGCCAGGATACCGAGATTCTACCGCCAACGGCAGAATATCCCACTCAACGACCAAGAGGAGCATCCTGCGCCGGCCAGTTGTGAGCCGGAACCCAGACGAGAGGACATGGGCAGAGCTCATCGCTTCTTTCACCGCCGCGCAGCCCACGGGAACACGCGTGTAGTCACGGTTGCCGTCGAGGTTGTTGCTACTGTCGACACCAACGGGAAGTTGGTTGCGGAGGAGACTCTGGCGCCCGTCACACCACAGGTCCCTACTCCGGCAGTCACGGCAGCAGTCCCCGCATCACAGCCCTCGGTGCGTCCAGCAGCGCAGCAGCCCCTCCCGTCTGTCCAACTGCCTGCTGTACCGGCTGTGCCTACAGTAGCTCTCCCTGTCTTGCCAGTCGTGCCAGCCGTTCCCACAGTGCCGGTTCCCGTGTTGCCATCTGTACCAGCAGTACCGCCTTTTCCTAGCGATCTCACCGTCCCTGGATATCCCTATTCTACAGACGTTCCTGTTGCGCAACCTGCATCTCCAGAGGTCCCCAGCGCATCGCCAGTGCCGACAGGTGGACCCGGAAGTACCGTCAGACCACCTGGAGTCCCAAATCTATCGCTCCTTTCGTCAATACATTCCGGAAATTCGACCGCGTCCAGTAAGTGCATGAATGTGTTTTGTTTGACCAATCTAACATTACAGGCACTGTGCTGTCTTCGTTTGTTTCTCTGGGCAGCATCTCGGCCCCGACAGCGACAGAGCTCGTCGCCTCCATTGCCGATGCGCCAACTTTGGCGTCTGCATCACAGTCTTTACCCACATCCAGCTCTTTGCGATCTTCGACATCTTTGACATCTTCGACATCTTCGACATCTTCAAAATCTTCGACGTCAAAATCTTCGACGTCCTTGACATCTGCGACATCGACATCAACATCTGCCGAGTCTCGTTCTGCTAGTCGCTCCGCATCTACCCCTGATGCGTCCACGACGGCCGTCTACTATGGCGGCGGCGGCGGTAATGCGCCTGGAACGGTGACTTCCCCTGCTGCAGCCACGTCAACTGCTTCTGGTGCAGCTGCCAGCAGCCCCTCTCCACTTGAGACTCCACAAGTAGTCGGGAGTATAGTAGGCAGTCTTGCTGGTGCTGCGCTTATCCTCGCTCTAATCCTATTGCTTCTCCGACGCCACAAGCGAAAGAGAGGCGGTGCGCTGCAACTCACTGGCGACGATCATATCGAAAACCCCCAGTCTGTCAGACAGGCGCCTGCGAGTAGCAGTCTTGTCCCTGCAGCCTTTCTCCACCGCTTCTCTGCCATGTCGGGCAAGACAGCAGACACCACCACCAGCGCTGGTGAGAGGAGCTTCCAGAGGGTGTCTGGCCGCAAACTCCCCTCCGCATTCAGCGAGGGCATGACATCGGACCAGTTTGCTGGCGGAAGCACAATGTCTGGTTCGTCCTTCTACCAGGATGAGCACGGTGTCTATGGCGGCCCGGGCCTGTCAAAAGAGTTTGGAAAGGAGATTGGCGACTCCTCTCTTAACCGCGAGTCAGGACCGATGAACATCCGGCCTGGCCCAGCCAAAACACCAGTCATACGGCACCCCGAAGACGACAACCCCTTTTCGGACCGCAACTACCTGAGCCCACCGCAGTCGCCCAACACCGAGCCCCCTCCTAGAGGCACGCTTGGAAGAAGCCTGCCCTCAGCCGATGGGTCGCGCTCGAGCAGATTCACGGAGAATGTCTGAACGAGCCTTTACCCCTTCTTACACTCGCTCAATCTCTTTACCTCACGACACGCATGAACGTGCGTATTGCTTTATCTGCATTGTATCTACCGTCTCGATTGTCGGCGGTCTGTCTTGTATACCCCTGGATCCGCTCGACAAATTCGATACTCACCACATACTGTCCTTAATCGGGTCGCATTACCGCGGCCTAGAATAATGTCTTGTCGGTCTCCACTTCTGCTTTTTTACATTTGTCTGGTTTCGATTCGTACGAGCTGCCGTTTGGGAGCAGTGCGCAGTTACACCCTGGTTGCTTGATAGAGATACCCAGGTCCGCCCGTTTGTTTACAGGTCGTGTATATATGCTGCGTCAAGGTAGCCCATGCATGTAGTCGCCATGTTTGACATGTATTGCGATTCGTGCAGGCTAGAGGTCTATTTGTAGAGTCGGTTAGGTTTATCCCTGACCAATGCACAAAAGTTTGATCTTGAATGTCGTTGTAGTTGTGATGTGGGTCGCTTCAGGCTTGGCGCGCCGAGAAGACTATGTTATCGCAGGACCATCTCCTAGAACGGTTCATGCTGCAAAGAATGTGATGTCAGCGTGCGCAATCGGTTAGCTCAGCCACAACCACAGCCGTTACAGCCTAGTCACGCACTGCCCCGAGATCGACGGCATGCTTGATGTGCTCCTAGCGTATAAGGCCGGCAACCTGTTTATATATAAGCTTGTGCGTCTGAGGAAGTATTTCTAGCCTTGTCAACTCTTCTATCACTCTATCAACTCTTTCAACGCTTCTGATCATCACCTACAACATGGCCTCCCTCGCCCCATCTCCTCAAGCCATTGGCGTATTCTCTCAGTTCATCGCTCAAGGCCCAGAGACGCTTGTTATGAAGGAAAAGGTCATGTCTCTCACCGGCGACAGCTTCAGCATCAAGCTCGCAAACGGTACGCCCCTGTTGAAAGTCGAGGGCAAAGTCATGAGCATCTCAGGACGAAAGAAGATGTTTGACATGCAAGGCAACCACATATGCAGCCTTGTCAAGGAGCATTTCCACATCCACACGACGTTTGCAGTGGAGGATCCCAGTGGTGCGAAGATCATGGAGGTGAAGAGTAATTTCAAGTGTAAGTTTAGATGGAAGGTGTAGCGGAGGTAGTTGCTAATCATCTTGGCAGTGTTCGGAAGCAAGGCAACTGCAACCTTTACCTCGCAAAGCGGAAAGCAGGAGACTCTTGTTATGCATGGCAACTATTTCGATACCAGCGCTGATATTATTGATGAAGCACAGGGGGGTATGTTTGATGACTCGTGGTGTGACTTGATGTTATGCTAACTGTCAAGCAGGCTTCATCGTCGCACGTATCAACCGCAAAATCCTCAGCGGCAAAGATATACTTTTCGGCCAGCAAACATACGGCGTGCAGATTGCACCGGGTGTAGATATGGCGCTCATTGCTGCTCTCTGCATCTGCCTGGATGAGAAGAACAACGAGCAATCAGGCTAAATACCCCCTATTGTTTCCATGACGAATGAATGAGTCTTTTTACCATTTCCTCGATTGCTTCCTTCTCTTTGTCGTCACAACGCATGAAGTGGTCTGGGATTGAATACATCCCAGGCATACTAGTTAATGATAACGAATACCAAACATCTCGCCCATCGGGCAACTTAGCCCAATATACATCATCAAAGCCCACTTGATACGAGACAAAGCTGCCGCGTTTCATGTCTGAAAGTGTCGCCTCGGGCCTTGTGACTGGAACGCAATGACAACGACTGACACGATTGAATGCAAATCCTCAAACACGTTATAACGGCATGCCCATGGCAATCAGTATTCAATGACAGTTTCGAGAAAATGGTGGAAGGCGTGAAGAATAAGCGCAAAGAATGACAAACAAGATAGGAGTAACCCATGTATTAGAGAGTGATCCTAGTCCATTCACCTCATGTGCCTCCCCTTTCTATGCCTAGCCTACTGCAAACAACGAGAATGAGAGTTTTACAAAGTCAAGACGAGGAAATAGCCCGTAAAACATGATGCGGGTGATGGAACAACAAGTCAAGGAAAGAACTGAAAAAAGAGTGATGATAGTGAAATATGCTTGAAAACGCCATGTGATGAATGCTACGCTGGACGCAAGGAAAGTCGGTCTTCTTCAGAAAACGTATATCCTTCTTACAACCTCTTCCTCTGTGTCTTCTTCGACACCACCTTCTCACCGGACACGCCTTGCGTATGCGGTCCTGAGGCAATGTATTGGCCTGGACGGATAACGCGGTGTAGCTGGAGCTGGAGCTAGGACATATGAATCATATTCTCATTCACTTGGACCCAACGAGTAATTCAGACCCTGGCACGTCATGTCCAAAGTCAAGGATCAATGTCCTTCCATCCTGGCTCGTGGCTACAACACGTCTGTAATCGCTCTTGGCTGATAGAATCCAGCTTGTTGTCCAGTTTTTGTAAACGGCATATGTCTGACCGGTTTCGTAGTCGGAGACTTGAATGCTCTGGTCGTATGAACCAGAGACGATGCGGCCGTTGAATGCGTCGAGGAACAGAGAACGCACAAGGCCATCGTGCTTGACTCTGCTGTGGACAAGCTCACCGGTCGACGCATCAAACTTGTATACAACATGGTCGTTGCCACCTGCGAGCACGTACTTGGCGTCATCGGAGAATTCAACAGCTGCAAGGCCACGGTCCTCTGACGGAAAGTCCTTGATGGAAACACCAGTCTCCAAGTTCCAGAGCTTGGCAATGCCGTCGCCACTAGCAGAGACGAGGAAGTTGCCACGTAGCTGGACAGCGTTGACGGGTCCGCGGTGGCCCTTGAGTGTGCGGATGCAGTTGCCCGTCTTGCGATCCCAGACTTTGATCATGGCGTCCTTGGAGCATGAGATGATGTACTTGTCGTCGAGGCACACATCAAGAACACCGGCCTCGTGTCCGCGAAGTCGGTACATTGGAACGTATTCGTCACCAGTAATGTCCCACACAATGCAGGTGTAGTCTGAAGATCCAGTCACCATAATCTCGCTGTCATACTGGAGGCACAGAATGGACGCATCGTGGTAGTCGATAGGAACCGTGTAGATTTCGTTGCCGACCTTGGTTCCGTTCATGGATGCATGGCTGATGACGCGTTCCGGTCTCTCTTCCATGGACGGGGGAGTGTTTGCCGTTGGACGGTGGTTGGGTCCACCGTATACCCTGATGCATTTGTAAGTTTTGAGGTCCCATACACGAATGGTCCGGTCACGCGAGCCGGTAATGGCCTTGTTCTCGTCAAACTGGCAGCAGTAGACGCTGTCGGTGTGGCCGTTGAGGTAGATGGCAGCGGGGGTTCCAGTCTTCCATCGGGCGTCGATGATGCTCCTGGCCTCGAACATTCTCTTCCAGTCCTGTGCAGGAGCAGGGTTGCCGCCCGACATCTTGCCGGTGCCCAGACCACCCATCTGGATCGGGGCGGGTGACACGTGTACCTCGGGCTCGTGTTTGCGGAGGAAGACGTTTCGCCATACGTGTGGCGACGATGCGTGTTCGTGCCAGCTGCGAGAGACGCGCTCGGCACGGACCAGGGATGCTGCGTCGAGGTTGGAAAGGACCGTGGTAGCGAGTTCAGCAGGGAGGCGTTGGAAGGGGTCGACTTTGGCACGGTTAGCTTGGTCACCACGTAGCAGTGCCACGACTTACTCATCTTCTTCTCTGTCACGCTGTCGGCCCGCACAATCGGCGAGGCACACGTCATGTCGACACCGCTCTCGTTGTCTTTGATGTCGTCGTCGCGCATCGACGGGGTGATGAGGCCATTGAGGAAACGTTGCGTGTGTTCTTGCTCGCGGCGGAGCTGGTTCTGGCGGTCCTGGTTGGCGGCGGCGGCTGCTTGTCGTGCGGCCGAGCCTGGAAGGACGGGGGGATAGGCGGGGGCAGTGAAGACGTTCTTGAGGTCGGTCGATGGCCCTGAAGCGGTAGGGCGGCGGCGCATGCTACTCAGGCGCTTGAAGGGAGAAAAGACTTTTGAGTTGAGCGGCGTGCTGGGCGGCTGTTGGAACGTGGGAATGCCCGAGTCTTGGTGCTGCAGGGGCTGTCGTTGATGGTCGGTAGCGAGTGGTTTGGCCGTGCTCGACGAGGGAAGTGACTCAAAGAGAGAGTGAATGGAGCCACGACGGCGCTGTGCGGGCGTTGCTGAAGAAACAGACGACATGCGCCGGCGCGTCTTTTGTCGGGTGAAACTGCCCGTGACGGCCCCAATGGCGCGGGAGAAGGAGCTTGACTGTGAGTGCTGTGACGAGCCGTCGACGTGCATGGTGGCCTCGTTGACGGCATCGAGCATGTTTGCGTCCTTCATGTCCTGGTGGTAGTGCGTGGGGAACGTCTGCGAGATTGTGCGCTTCATCGTGTGCGGCGGCGGTACGGGGGCAGCGCTGTCGTCGTCTACGTCGGAGGAGGTCTTGGGCCGGTGCGACAGGATTGACTGTCTGCGCGCCGACATTGATGCTGGCACGTCGGGCAGGCGTTGGCAAACTCGCTAAACGTGGCGATTCAGATGGACGACGGCAAAGGAGCGGCGCTGGTCGGGCAAAGGATGGCGAGACGCTGTGCGATGGGCTGACGAAGAGAGCGTGCACAGCAACTCTGATGCCGTGAAATGAAGCCGGAAAGGAGCCGGGACGATGGCGAGAAAAGGAGGGTGAGGGCGGAAACAAGGACGGCAGAACGCTGGCACGGGAGGGTATCGCATAAGTACCAAGTAGAGTGGAGGAAAAGGCAAAGCAGCCAGAGTCTGCGGCAACACTAGCTAAGGAGAGGTGCAGGGAGTGATGTGACATTACTCTCTCCTGCAGCCGATCTCAACTCCGGTTCGAGTGCGTCCCGAACCTGGTCTGTTCACAAAGCAACACCATCCCTGCCGCCTCCGTCGCCATAACCACGCCTGACGCTCAAACAAAATCCTCTGACCGTTGTCGTTGCTGCCACCACACCCACACCACACACCGCTCCCACCGTTTGCACCTGAATCGCTTTGAGACGATACGCGAAACCAACCAAACGCTGCAAAACATCATGGCTACTGCCCCGCCCGCACCAGTCCCCAGTCTGTACCGCTTTGTCTTTCTCTGGCTGGAGCCCGTTTCCACCCTCACAGGCGCCGTCTATGCCTACTTCTTCCAGCCCATCTACCTCAACCTCACCCATGCCCCCAGTGCTCCCGGCTCCGACATTCCCATTGCTACAAGCGTCGTCCTAGCCCAGCTAGCCAACTTGTACCTTGGCTTGAGTTTGATCGAAGCCTCTATCCTGCGCGCAACCACCGAACTCAAGGTCTGGAACGCCCTCATCGTCTGTCTGCTGCTCGCCGACTTTGGGCACCTGTATTCCGTCCTACCCCTTGGCGCCCATGTCTACTGGGCCTATTGGCGGTGGAACGCCATTGACTACGGCAACGTCCCTTTTGTCTACTTTCTCGCCATTACCCGCATCTGCATGCTCTTGCGCCTAGGTTTCCCCAGCCAAGGTGTGAGTGAAGGTGTGAGTGAAGGTGTGAGTGAAGGTGTGAGTGAAGGTGAGAGGTTGAAGAGCACATGACGTGCTAGGCGAACCTTCAACCCAAGCCATGCCCCTAGCTCACCACTACGGCTATCGTAATCTCAATCCATCTCAAACCAATTGCACCGTGATAGCTCAACTTTCTGTCCTGCCATTCGCCCGCCAAATGCCATCAATCCGCAGTAGGCAACCTAACCGAGTGGGAATACCCCAGATCCACCCTCGCATACCCTGTCCGCGTAGAGCGCCACACTTCTACACCGCCCAATTCTCACCACCTCACCATGTTACTAAATGCTTTCTCAACCATTTCTTGCATATAGCTGACGCATACCCCCCCTGCATCCACCATACATTTTATCGCCTCTCGCCTCTGCTCAAACCCAGCCAACAGATCGCTGACACATCTCGAAGAAAAAACATCTCCAAAAGACTGCGCGTGGCGTACTTGGCTGCATGCAGCTTGCCGAGAATAGCTGCGTGCCTCGCCACGCTCTTCTCAGCCTTGCCCTGCATAGCCGCAGGTCAACAAGGGCGGCATGCGCTTCCGCAACACTCAACGTCATACCTCTCTATTCGCTTCCTGCACCCTCGGAACTGTCCGGGTCGTGTACATCTGCAGAGTAATGTTGAGGTAACGTGTGTCGTCGGAAACGTCCCAAGACTGCTACCATGGGTCGACGCTGTTAGGCTCTCCATGACATGTGTCTTGCATCATGTCAAACCACGCGGTCGCTACCCTTTTGCACTGTAACATGGTTCGCCAGTGTTCTCGCCGACTCGATGCTAGGTTCGGGTTCTGTAATCCGGCCGTCATCTTATATCGGTAGCGCTTTCGCCCTGGGCAGGTGTAGAGTGCGGGGAAGGGATTACCCATCGCTACATCACTTACAAAGTCTATCTGCTCAAGTGCAGCGCATGTCAATGCCCACTGACGGGATGTCGTGTTTCAACCACGGCGGCATTTATGCGGGTCGTGCAAAATCAACCAGGACTTTATCGCGAGAAATTGGTAGATGACTATTGTTTCTAGTTAGTCAACGTAGTCTGCATTGTGGTGTCCGGTTGGCTATCAATACATCAACGGCAGCGACTAAGATTCGTGTACCGTAAACCATCCCGCTTTCTTCTCCTTTTGGTCTCTGAAGTAGCAAGCAAACGACTCTGACTCTTCCAGTTGTTTGGTTTGTTCGATCAGTATGGCGGTTCCCAGTGCCGGAAACCTCTCAATCAGCCGTAAAAATGCGGCATGGAATAGGAATATCTTGTTGCGTAGGACCGCCTTGGCAATCATTGCCCAGGACCCATCATTCCACTGATCCATGTGATAGCTATGGTACCAATCGATCCACCAGCCCAGGTCTCTTGGTTCCATCTGTTCTGTAACAGTGATGAACCTCTCTGTCAGCAGATAGACAAAGTGAGGCGAGTCGTAGACTTCACCCAGCTCCCAGAGAGTTACATAGCCCAGTAGGCGCCGAAAGTTATACTGATGCTGCGCGGCCCACTTGGACATGCCCGCCATGCCACTTACAGTGCTCACGACTTCCTGCTCCTCGAGTTCGTTGTTATATAGGTACTTGACGAACAAGCGGAGGAAGAGAGGGTCCTTGTTTTGCACAGAGATGACCTGTTTCCCTTCTGACATGGCCAACATGTTCTGTTTGAAAAAGAAGTGTGGTGTTGTATTCAATGCGGAGCTACGCAGACGCTTCTCGAACCAACTGCATCGCTGTAAGATGTATCTGTGGGCGTGCAGCTCGCTGGTGGACCCGTCATGGTTCACGATGATCTCGACGTCGAAGGGAGCTTTGTCGTAACCCGGGAAGTCATAAATCGTTGGTTGTGAATATGGGATGTAAGGAGGCATGACTGTGGTTTGACGTAGTTCGTGAGCGAAATTTCAAGGGTCTTATAGCCGCTGGAACTTTGTGCGCAAGTGGTATTGCTACAGGTCAAGCGATGGAGAGCAGCAATCAGATGAGACGCATGGTAGCAAGCAAAAACTGCTTTTAGAATGGTCAGTGATTGTCTGTATATTCCATTTGTAGAAGCTCTTGGACAAATACCAGAGGCATTACGAGTGGGTACCTGGGGGGGTACGAGGTGCTTTGAGAGATCCGTGTACGCAGCAATGCCGCGTTTTCTTAGCAAGAATACATCCATGCCCTTCATGGTAGACGATAGGATGAAGATTTCCATGACTTGATGCTGGCATGGCGGGGTGGCTGGAATGAAATGATTTGTGCACGGCAAGAGCAGGAAGTGAGTGAAAAACTTCCACCTTAGGCATCGGAAGACACGAGAGGGGAAGGCGCAAAGGACCCAGCCTCAATGATATGTCACGTGACAAACATAGGATACTTCCAGAAACAAAGCCTCATACAGTACCTCTACATATCAGACAATCAAAGTGTGCCTGAAGATACTTAATTCCAGATATTGCAAATGAAAAGCGCGTTTTCGTTTCGCCCCGGCTTGACAGATAGGCACCGAGCAGTGTAAGGCTCTCATCGCCGAACTCTAATATATCATACCTGCTCAGTATAGGTAGTTTGAACTGCCTATGTATTCAGAACCACCATAAGAGTAACAGGTGCTTGAGCCAAGAATTCTTTCACAGCATCAATGCAAAGCATGGACGTGATGTGTCTTATCTAAAGTATTAAGTTGTTCTATGTCTATAAGCCCCCAGCTAGCACCCAGTCAACGCCAGTCTATTCTACTCCATCCATCTCTTCCGCTTCCACCTCTTCATCTTCCACCACCTCTATTTCGTCCACGAGGTCCTTTGAGCCGCTCCCTTCGCCCTCCTTGTCGAACTCCCTAATATCATGCATTGTTCTCATGAAGCGGTGATGATACTTGCTCACCTCTTGGGCGTCTGATTGAAACTTTTCTATCTTCAATTCAAGGGCATTCCGTAACTCAAATTCCCGGAAGAATTCCTTTTCGTATACAGCAATTTTCTCGATCGTCCTATCTGTCTCCTTCGTGAGTTCTAAAGCTAACGCGAACTGGGTACCCATCTCTGTCTCGGGTGACATTTTCTCGCATAGAGTGAAGAGCGCAGTCCTCGCTTCGTCACGCTCTTTGTCGACAGCTTCCTCCTCAAGCAGAAGTTCCTCGAGTTGTTTGGTGACAGCATCGGTCTTTGCCTGCTCACTGTCTATTTCCGCCTGGGCATTGAGCTTCATTGCCGATTCTTTCACCACATACATCATGGCTGCCGACCAGATGAGGACAGATGTCTTGGATGCCGATGCATTGCTCAACCCTGCTGGATAATGGCTGAAACCACCGCCGTTGTGGATATAGCCGTCAGCCAGCTTTGTCCAGCCAATCTCGGAGATTTCGGACTGTTCGGGCTTGTAGACGAGGTATATGACGGCCTGTTCGATGTGGTATGGACCATTGCTACTCCATTCTTGTAAAGTCGTGGGCAGTATCGCGCAAAGGGTTTCGGTGAGGGCCATCAGGTAGTTGGAGTAGTGGTGCGACGCTTGTTCGCGCAGGCGCGGGATACATTCGTTCGAGTAGCCAACGTCGACCAAAGGGAATTCCAGTGGCTTGTTCCAGTCGGCTTTGAGGACTTCATTGAGGCGTTTCTGCAGCGCATTGACAAATGTGATCGTCCTCTTGATCCGATCCGGAACCAATCGCCACACCCGAAGCTTCTTGCTGCTCGAAGCCTTGCCCTTTGCGATACCGGTAGTTGCCAGCTTTGCTAGCTGTGGCTGGGGAGCTCTGTACATCTCGTGAGCCTCGTATTCGCCTGGCTTCTTCGCGTGCTCGACATAGTAATCGCTCCACATGTACGCCCGATATGAAGCTGGCTCTCGCGCGCTGAGCTTCAATTGCACCTTGTACTTGTCGGCCTTGAAGTTGTCAATGGTGTTCGCAAGCTGGGCATCGACAGCGTTGAATGTGCCTGGCTTGATCTCGCCACAGAGCTCATGATTGTAGCCCTTGACGTAGCCGAGCATATACTTACTGATCTCGTACAGCTCTTCCACGGTTGGAGAGTAGCCATCGTCGTTTACGAGTTGCTGGTGGTAGATGCCGGGTTGGTTCGCTGCCTGGTCCCAAAGCTTGTCCAGGATCGCTGCGAGTACTGCGTCGTTGTTGCGGTCGAACGCAAGATTGCCAAACGCCACTGACTGAAGAAGCCTAGGATAATTCTTGAAGCGCTGTGAGCTCGTCATCTATGACCTGGCGCGCAAGGCCTTGGTGACCAGACTCGATGTAGACTTGCTCCCCAACGCGCCTTTGACTCTTGCAGCTCGGTTCTGTCTAGTGCTGGGATATTTCTTTGAAGTACCTCTTGCAACAAGACCATGTCGACGAGGTCTATTGCTGGTGCCAATGTCCCTTCGTAGCCGGCTGGTGTATGCTTTGCCAACTCTTCCTCCTCCTCTTCCGTTATTATAAGTGGCATTCTGTTTGTCGTCGTTGCCATATCCTCTTCGTCGTCTGGACCTGCTTGATCTGTGCCGTTGAACTTCTTCGCTAGTTTTAGAAACTCCTCGCTGCGCAGAGGTAAACTGCGATGATGTAAGGGAGCTTGACTGATCCACGGTAAAGGAAATGCGGGTCTGACAATAGGTAGACTTGGGGCGTTGGCCTGTGAGATGGTGCGCTTTTTGTTGATGGATGGCGCCATCTTCCCTGCTGTACGTCAGATGTGTTCTTGAGAGACTTCGGTACCGTTTGAAAAATAACAGAACGCTATGTTGTCATTCAAAGGGGGGGCAAAACGAGTGGGAGAATCTGGGGAGAGAAACGTTCATGCAGGTGGGTCGGTATTTATTGCCGCCAAGACATGAGCGGTGATGGTGAAGCCAAAAACGCGCGTTTAGGCAATCCTCACCACGTATCATACGATGAACTAGCTCATAGGAATTTGAGCGTTTAATGATGTGCGTGCCAAGGATAAATCAAGCGATGAAGAGACTGGGTCATACCATACCTAGGTAGCAGTAATCTTCTCTTTCACTTCACCATAGGTTCCACGCGCTAGTCTCGACGCGCTAGCCCACACGCTAGGCTGCAGTATTTAATACGCGGAAATCTTCGCCAGCAACCCGTCAACCCGCAGCTTCTTCCCTCTTTGTAGCACATATCCATGCTCCTTACAAACACCGCTTGTCTAATCTTTACTACCTCACGAATGACAACATAGTGCTCTACTATTTTTCAACAAAGCAAGTCAAGGCCATAACGAACACTCACTAAATGGACTGCCTCAACAGACAAGATGTCCAACAAGATCACCTACGGCAAGAAGACGGGCCAAGCTAGCTCGCAGAGATGTCAACAAGCAAGTCAAGCTGGCTTGATTCTTATCGATTGCAGATCACAGACAATATAGAGGCTCGTGCACAGTGGCACGTCCCAGAGAATGGTCTGTGATCTGCAATCGATAAGAATCAAGCCAGCTTGACTTGCTTGTTGACATCTCTGCTGCTAGCTCGAAACCCCCTTCGTCAACCGCCAGCAAACTACAAAGTCACTGCTAGCAGCAGTGGCGACGCTAGCGATAACAACACCGACAGTAACGACGACGAGGGCGAAGCAGATAGCGAAGCAGATAGCGATGATGATGATGCCAGCAGCACACCTCAGAAACCCGTAGCCAAGAGACTCAAGACCAACCCTCCCCCCGAACCACTGGCGTCCACAACATCCTCATCTAAGAAGCCTGTAACCAAGAATTTTGCGAAGTCGATACCGTCTTGGAGCGACGATGGGCAGGCTGTGGACGCCTTGGATCAAGTAGCTCAAGAGATCAAACAGCTCAGCGGCAATCTGGGGAACCTCCGCGTGCAAGTGGCCGGTTCCTGTGGCCAAAATCACGTTCTCGCGCAGCAGTTGCACACGCTGCAGACCCAATCAACCGAAGATGCGAAGGTGGCAAAGCTTGCGACCGAGGTGGCTGGAAGAACAGCACATATGGCAGCGGACAAGACGTCGGAAAAACTGCGTATACAAGAAGCCGAGAACCAACGATTGCGCGAAAAGGTTCTCGAGTCTAACACCAGTCGGAAATACGAGTTTTCGATCAAGCAAATCCAGGAAGTGCAGATCGTCGAGCTGAAGAGCACCATTGCGGACATGCAGAAGGCCGAGAAAGCGCGCGAACAAGAGGCCAGTCGGGATTACAGGGCCAAGGTTGACGATATGAACACACTGCAGAATGCACACGCCCTAGAAGCCGAGCAGCATCTTGATACTGTCAGGGAGAATGCCCAAGAGATTTATGGCCTCAAGTTGGAGGTCACTATGATCGACTTCTACAAGCAAGCTGCCGCTTCCGAAAAGAAGTACGCAAAGACCCTGAAAGATGCGCTACAAGACCAAACCGACCACGTTGCCACTCAGAAAGACGCTGTGAAGAAGCTGGAGGCAGAAATTCTCGCCAAAGACCAGAAGATTAAGGAATGTATGGAGGTTGAGGCAAGGCTGTCAGAGGAATTGCAGAAGGAGAAAAAAGCTGCAATGAGCGATGTGCTATACCATCTGAACGACTACCAAGGTGAGGACCTTCCTACCGATATGAACACATACCTACTTCTTTCCTACATTAGATATTTGTTTTGTTGCTTTTTTGCGTACTTAGATAAATCTTAGATGATAATTCCAAGTTTCGGTTGCTTGAAACGCGCGTTTTGACGGTGACATGGTGAAGAACATGTTGCTTCTGTGGGTATACAACATATCATTTCCGTTAGTGGAGTGGTCCCAAGAGTAGATTGGTGGATACATACGGCGTTTGAACTAGCATATATAGAACAGCAGTCCCCATGTATGTGCCTAGGCCAGCTCAACACATATATTTGACGAATGAAAGTAGGTGCAGTGGAGAAGTGCGAAGGTTAAAAATCCATATCGATTAGGCTGTAAATAGATGTATACTTCCAGGTTCCAGTGTTACAGCTCCGACGATCATAGTTTTTATTACGTAGAAATAAGCAGGCTATTGGAATGGAGCAGACCGGCACATATGTCACGGAGTATGGTATATCTAATGGGGAAACCAATGTATTATAGCGATACCACGGTGACGGTGCAGATAAAAAAATAGCAATAAATAGACATAGTGGTATAAGCATAAGCAGAACAAGGAATAATAAACAAACAGTAACAGGCAGTAAGTGCAGACAGAAGCAGAAACTAAATAAGCGATAGTACTAGTAGAACTAGAAACAGCAGTAGGTATTGGTACAAGAAGAAGTAGAAACAGCAGCAGGTGATAGCGCAGATAATAGCAGCAACAAAACAGATAATAGTATAGACAGAAACAAAAATATAAACAGATATAGCAGTGGATATCAGTAGTACAAGAAGAAGCAGAAATAAAAACAGTAGCTGTTGGAAGGCCTTGTACGATCGTACGGTGAATAACAGTAGCTAAGGTAATCTTGTGTATTGGTATTCTGGTGTATGATGATTCTACGAATGTGGGGGCTACGAAGGTATACATAACGTTGGGTCCGAGTTGGGCCGAAGTAGGATCGAGGCGGTACATTGGGCCTTATTAGGCGACACACCGTGTGTATGCCGACAGTAGCAGAAATTAGCACAGGTTAAACAGAAACAGCAATAGATATCAGTACAAGAAGCAGAAATAGAAACAGCAGTAGGCCTTAGTACAAGTAGAAACAGAAACAGCAACAGCAACAGGCATCAGTATAGGTAGAAACAAAAATAGCAGCAGAAATTCGTACAGGTAGCAACAGAAACAGAAGTCAGCAGTAACAAATGAGATCAGAAACAGAAGTAGATACTGGTACAGGTAAAACAGAAACATATTAACAACGCGGAAAGACAAACTTTAAAGCAGTAGTACAGGAGAAACCGAAAAAAGACACAAAGGGATACAAAACGGTACAGGATACATGACGGTGGGGGAATGGGATCGACTCAAGTATGCTTTGCACTTCCGGATTCTTTCCGCTTCTTCGCTCGCTTGGTCTTGGTATCGTAGTCTTTGATGAATTTGCGCTTGAACGAAGAAGGGCGCAGCCAGTACGAGACTTGATCGGGTGTGCCGAAGGACCGATCAATTACAGTGAGAGGATATAACATCATATTGCTTCGGTCTTGTCGAATACAGAAGTTCTGGTGATTGACGCATTCTCGCCGCGGAGTGAGGAGAGCAAGAGCTGGAGCTTGGCATCGGGGTTGGAAGGAGCGGAGGCAGAAATATCGACGGTGGAGGCGGTGAAGGCGGTGAAGGCGGTGAAGGCAGTGAAGGCTAGTGATAGAGAAGTTAGTGATGGTTCTAGACTAGCGAGGTTTGAATAAGTGCAGAGTGCTATGTTGTCACTCAGGGGGGCATGATGATAGAAAAATGGGTATCATGAAATAATCTGGAACTAAAATGTTGCAAAGAAGAAGAGTGAAGGGGGAGTGGAGCTGGGAGTGAGTGAAAATTCTTTTATCCCCCGCGTTGGACGAGGAAGGCACGAGGGGGGAAGGCACAATGGAAGAGGGCACAGGCCCCACGGAACTTCATGTCTGCCACGACGCCAGTCATGCTTCAGCATACTGCAACTTCATATTTAGGGCGCCCATGAAGGGACCAGGAGTGATACACCATATTCTAGCTGGGCCCTCTGGAATGACAAGGGTGCCTTGTGAGTACTACAAGTTGGCGAACCCCGTGACTATGACAAGCAGGAAGCGCAATATTGGTCTACGCAAGAGTAATATACGGTATCCAGTATCATGTTCTACGCATTCAAGGGATCTAAAGTAGAGGGTGTTAGGTAGAACGAACTATAAGAGGTTAATCGGTACATACATGTTGTCACTAGGGTATCACGTGACTAGTGTTCAAACCCGATGTCTATCAACGTAATCTACATGTAAGGGGATGCTGGTAGAGATGGGCATGGTCCTTGAAGTCGTATTAAATGCTGTTTCTCGAGTCAATAAAGAGCCAGACCTTGACTTGCTGGGCCTTGTGGGTGTTTTCCGTGGCCTCTTGCATCTCCTGGTCGAACTGGGGCATTGCGGGCACGGGTCACGGTACCTGGGGCACCAGTTGACGTTGAGAGAATCGGTGAAGCGCGTAAGATCTTTGCTTCGTGTCTTCTTGCTTGGGTGGCAATCGAGGGTCACCAGGCAGAGCGACTGACGGTTGGCAGTGCCTTTGTTGTAATCGAAGTTGTAAGCATCGCGGTCTTGGAGGCGCAGTTGATGCACCATATTATCGAGCTCTTTCCCTAGTTGCTCTCTACCAATGTCGAAGAAGTAGAAATGTATCCCTTAGAAGTGTTGATGTCCTATTCGACGACGTATAGGATGTAATAACGCTTCTTGACTTTGCAATCGCTATAGCTTAGGCAAGAACTATATCTCTTGTGTGCCAAATATGACACGTCTTAGCACAGCGATTCATCATAAGCTTCGTCGCCGAAAGATGCCGGCAAACGTTACTGAGGTCGTCAAGGGCGATGATGTTTAGTCCAGGAACATAAGTCTTTTAGCGAAGGGGGTTTCCACATCTCATATATGCCATATGAGATAATCAGAGTAGCTCCGCTGAGAGTATCGCACCTCGCGTGACTTCATTGCGTCTCTCCTACTCAATGTCAATGCTTGCCCTTTGCATCCCCAGCAGAGACTGAAGCGAGGTACCCAGCTCTTCGTCCTGGTCAACTTCACCATAACCTACTGTGGAATAAGAAGATATCACCACTAGTCGACACGACCTCAGCAATCTGCTTCCTCCTTACAGCTACTCGAAATGTGATCAAGACCGCGCACTAAGTCCTCAACTCGTACAAGAACGATTTATCATTAAAGCATACTAAGTTTGCCAGCGAGGCATCCGGCCGCCGCCTTGTAACTGCCCTGGAAACGCCTGAAGAATTGTGCGAAAGGAACGGGGTATCTGCCTATCCAAGCTCTTCAAAACACCATCATGACCCGACGACCTCAACCCAGCCCTCTCTGTTGCGCTCCTCCCTAGAGCCGTCGTCGGCGATGAGCTCCTTTGCGAGACCGTCCTTTGCGCCCCGCCGCCTCGCACGCTCACGCACCGAGCGCTCCTCCTTTTCGCACTCGCGAATGGCCTCGACGACCTCCAGCTCCTCAAAGCGGGCGTCCTGGAGATTGAGCTTCTGCCATTGAGGATGCTTCTGGCAGCGCTTCTTAAGACAGGCCGTCTCCTTGGCCTCGACATCCATGTCGATTGCATCACCGTCGGTGGCGGAAATTTGCTCGTCGGTCGGGGACAGCGTCGAGTGGGTAAATGCTGCACGCCCGTGTCTGCTGTTCCGCCACAGGAGAAACTCTGCGTCGGACCAGCTCAGCCGCGAGTCGTAGCCGCAAAAGTCCTTCATCTTGAGCTTCTCGCGGTCCGCCAGACGCACAGCCTGTTCCTTTGCCATGCTGACAAACTTCTCGCGGTCCTTGAGCACCTCCAGTCGGTCTTTGAGTTGTGACTTCTCCTTGTGCAACGCGGTCAGCCGCTCAATCTCGCCCGCAGTCAACGCAAGGTCCTCGCCGTTGGATGGGAACGTCGCGCGTGACGGAGAAGCTGTCTGCGGAGGGGTGAGGACGCCAGTGCCGAGATTCTTGAATGCCTGAATGTTTGGTGATGCATCGACCAGCGCCTTAAGATCCTTTGCTCGCAGCGTCCCCCCGAGCGGCGTTGGCTCCTCGTCCTCCTCGTCCGTCTTCTTCTTCTTCTTTTTCGTCCCATTCGTCGCCTTTGCACCCGCCGTCCGATGTAGCTGCTCCGACATGAAGAGCACGCCACACTCGTCCGTGCAGTACTTGCTCACCCTGTCCTTGGCCAACCGCGCCGGCTTCCGACAGCCATCCCGTCTGCACATTGGCTTCCAGGTGGTGTGGCCTTTGCCATTCTCCTCACACAGCGGACATATGAACTTGTCGACCAGCTCCTCGTCCGCTTGCTTCATATTAACGCAGTCGCCGTGGAACCAGTCGTCACACCCGCCATCGCAGCCAATCATCCACTTGTGGTTGTCCGGCTTCTTGCACAGACAGTACAGGTTATGGTCCTCGGATGAGTCGTCTTCGTCGGTCGCGTGGGTTTGCGAGCAGTTGTCGGGCGCGGGCGAGGATTCGAGAGCGGGCGTGCCCTTTTTCAGCTTGGGCGGCCTCGACGCGCGCGCGGTAGGCGTGACGGAGACGCGCGCCATCTTCCGTCTCGACTCTGCGTTCTTATTCGG